AAACTGGAGAGAAAATAGTAAGGGAAAAAAAGAAAGAAAACGGGGATAGAAGAGGAGTAAGAGTATGAGGGCAAAGTAAGAGTTACAAAAAGTAACTAATTGCTACATACAATTGCAGTACTATATCAAAAGAAGAAAAAAAAAACGCAAGAAGAGACGAGAATTAGAAACATTTTCCGAACTGTGACGCCCGCCGCTGACGGGTTCAATAAATACATGTAGAGAGCAGGTTCCAGAATCGAATCAATCAATCGAATGCACGCAATTCTATTTATCTAGTGCAGCGATGATGATGATGGCTGCCCAGTGTCCCATAGATGATGGCATTAAACGTTCCAGGAACAAGCTTGAACTGTAGGTTCGTCCCCCCGTTTTGCAGCCCACATGTTGCGTAACATGAGGGAACAGACAGGGGAGGGGGGGAAGGAGGATTTCTGAAGTGCGACTTGCTGAACGGAGTAAGGGAAGGGTGGAAGGCAGGCATGTAGTATGTAGGTAACGTAGAGTACGGTATGTAGAGTTAGGAGGTACTCTATGTACTCTACCAGGCAGGTGAAAGTACCTCCACTGTCCACCTGCTCGTCATCACCACCAGTACAGTGCCATCATCGTCGTCCGTTCGACGACGTCTGGTAATTAATGTTGGAACAACGAACGCTGCCTTGCCTGCTTTGCTGGTTGGACCCCCTCGATGATGTGTTTACTCCTCTCTTGTTGTTGCTGCTGCTGCTCCTTCCCCTCCTCTGTCTAGAGTACTCCTACATCTCATCCACAACTGTAAATTTCCCTGCTTGAAACCGTCCAATCCCTGGAATTGATAGGCAGGCCTTGTTACCGCATCGGTCCCTCGTCAAAGTCCTGCCGTGCATAGTGCTGCTCGCTTGTGGCTGGCCGTTGTGGCGGCCCCATCCAGCTGGGACCTTTCCCAAGTGCGAATAAATACCCTCCTCTACGTAGCTAATTGGTACATGTAGGTTACTCTATGTATGATAGTCGCAGCCTGCATCCGAATCGATTCCGATCCCGTAGAACGAACATCTTCGGCGCGAGAGGAAGGAGAGGCTGGCTGTCTCAACTCTTTTGCAGGTGATTGTCTGTCTGTCTGTCTGGCGGCCCGTCATGTTGCTTGCTCGGTGCGACGTGGATACCACATACCCGCAGTGTTTGTGTCGGAGAAACCAGTTTCCAGAAAAACCTCTCTTTCTTTGTGCGACTGTGGAAAAAAAAAAGTTGCCTGCTCTGCCAGACAGTTCCAGTGGATGCTCTGCTCTGATTGAACACCACAGCTTGCCAAGGCCCACAAACCCACGTCTGGCCCCCACACCCAACAACACGCGAGCCGCAACGGGTTCTATGAACGCTATTTCAGGGTCCGAGCTCCTTCCTTGAGTCAACCGCTCCCAATCTGGCGGGCGGCCGACAGCCGCAACAACCAGATTGATTTTCCCATCTGCAAGAGCGTTCCGAGTGAAAGAGCCATCATCCTTTCCTCAGATCCTGACACTTGCCTTAGGGGCGCGTCTAGCTAGGAAATTTTACTAACTGCCGAGATGAGGACAAGAGAGGATTTGTGTTAGTACGAGTTCTTCGGCCCTCAAGAGCGACCCTGATCACGGAGATTAGAGCGAGCCTGGGTTAGCAAGTACAGTTGCAACTCGATATGCCGGATTGCCAAGATTCTAAGGATTTCGTACGGGATAGCAAAAAATCCGGGATAGCAAATTGATTTTGCAGTAGGAAAAATCATATTCTCAGAGGATCTCGTACGGGACAGCAAGGGATCCGGTGTATTGAGTTCCGGCATATCGAGTTGCGACTGTACCAACTAATGGCTACATGTGGTAGAGTATCATACTCTAGCAACTCTGTGTACCCGGTTACTGAGAATACCGAGAAGAAAAGACCGCCTTGTCAACTTACTGTACTTGCTGAAAACGGTCTCAAAGGGAGCTCTAGAGTGCGACTGTAGAGTGCGTTTGGAAAGATTGCTACTATTTTCGGACACGCGCGACTGCTGCTTCTGCCAAGAGCACGCGAGACACAACGCTTACTGACTGGCCAAACCTCACCAACAGCAGCAATCGCAACACTGTCAGAAGCAATCGCAACACTGTCAGAAGGTACTTTGTACCTACAGGTAAAAAGGCAGTGGTAACAGAGGCTTTACAGGTCATTCGGCCAGCCAGCTAGCCAGCCACCGCGTTTCTGACTTCGGAGACCGACACACATCTCACACTAGTGTCTGAGTGGCTTTGTGAGGCTTGATGCGAAGTGTTTCAAAACACCAGTGGAGGGCATGGCCTGGCAGGCATGGTTTGATCACAGGCCAGTGAGACGGTAGAAGTAGGGTAACAGGTGCCTCTGTAGCGGTGCTCATTATTAAAATTAACTACTGCTGCTACTGCTGCTGCTGCACAGAGGACCCTTTCTTATCCAACCATCGAAACCTCCTGTGGGTTGACGTGTTCCTGAGCGGGCGAGTGTGGGGTGTGTGGGGTAGGTTTTACTCTGGGCAAGTAATAGATAGATAAAGACCCTGCTGCAATCATGTGATGATGCCCTCGCAGGTAGGTACAGTTAAAGAAGCTACTCCTTCCTTGTACTACTGGTTTAGGGGAAAGCGGTCCAAACCTCCCCTCCTTGACGGAAGCATAAGTATCGGTCTCCGAAGCCATGTACCTGCAAACACGATGGCTGGCCCAGTCGACCGGCGGTGGATAATAACCTGGAGAGCTTTCCGGATATCCTTCCTGTTTGTTACGCCGATGAATGGATGAACCAAGCTCGGTGATAGGCCCAGTTCATGTGCGCATACCGGTGGTAAGTAAGTACTCTACCCTACCTACATACATGTGGGCCTAAATACCTGGGCAGGTAGGCCAGCCCAAACGCCAGGCCCGGGAATTTTGTTTCAGACAGGCTGTGGTTCGCGCGGTAAACATCTCGGCGAAGTGATTGGGGGAACCCGGTCCACTAGCAGGATCCGTCCGAGTGAGAGCCAATGACTCGCACCAAAAAAGCCAAAAAAGAAAAAGAAAAACCGATCGAAAAGAAAGGAAACCCCGCATACACACAGAGCACCAATAGATCCCATACAGATAAGAGAAAAGGGCAGAGAGTCTATATATATTTAGGTCTCTACTAGTATCTTCCTGACGTTCTTGAACTGGGCCATTATTGCATACACCCAAAATCATGAGCTTGGCGTATTTTTGTATGGCATGCAATATCAGTCGCGTCCACAAACGTCAGGAAAATACGAGTACTCGCAGTTTTTTGACGTTTCCGGACGCGACCACTATTGCATGCCATACAAAAGATAGCCTTGGCGGGTTTTTTCTGTGTATGCAATAGCAGTTGCGTCCGGAAACGCTGTGAAATTACGAGTACTGTACTCTGCTTACCCTACAGCCAGCCTGACCAATCTCATAATCGGGCCTTGAATCTTAAGTTTTAACCGAACCGGGACGGGTATCGTTTTACATATTATTCGCTTGGATCTAGCCGTGCCCCCCCTCCTCGATCCCTCCCTTCTCGAGTACATTCGGTTCCAGAGGTGTCTTGCCCCTTTACTACCTTAAATACCACACGCCGAGCTAACAGCTGGGAAGTGGGTATGTGCCTTGGCACGGGATCGGTACCGATCTGACACGGCTTATCAAGAGCAGGTACATACATGTAGTTCTTACTCTACCTGTCACCCTAGAAGTGTATACCTGCCCCCTTCTGCTGTTGTCGGAGCAGAATTGCACTCGGGATAAGCTGAAAAAATACTTTCAGTACCCACAACCTGCCAGTGTCTATCGATAAAGTACATAGTACATACATGTCCTGGTCACGCACACTTATCGGTTTGGTTTTGGTTCGAGCCAGCCCAGCCAGAGTCTAAATCCGTGCAACTGTCTCTGCGCGTGATCAATCGATAATTTAAAATTAACGAGAGACAAGAAACAGCACTCTCCGACGCTCGAACTGGAAGTGACAGATATGTACCTACAAGATACGTAGCCGTAGCCGTAGCCGTAGCCGTGCTCTATCTTTAATTACGATCACAGGGTGTAAGGCGGGCTTAGTCAAGGTGTCAACATACTGCATGCTTAACTAAAGCACATAGAGTATGTAATATGTGTCGTCATTACATGTATAAGTAAGTGAAGAGGCTCCAAACCTCTTCATCATACTGACTCTTCCCCACGCAGCGGACCGTCCCGAATCTCAGCGAGTACTTACGGATGGGCGTCCCAACTTCAGCTCGACTCTACAACTCCCCCTGCTTTTGTGGCTGAAAAATATCAGGTAGTTACATATGTAGGTACAAGAATTCAGGTGTCACCTGGGCAGCCATCGGAAAAGAGTCAATACACATCATGTAGGTACCTCCCGTGAGCTCAGAATGGTGGCTGGCCTACGACATGAGGCTGGTCAAGACAACAACTACAGAGAGAGGCTGGGTTTCGATTCCTTTTGGACCAATCATTCTAGACTAAGTCGGTCTGGAAGCTACATACATCTGTTCGCCACGAGAATAGCCACCCGCCGGCCGCCCCGGTATCAAGATAATAGGGTAGACCGTAGGGCTGAAATCGGCTACGTATTCTGGCTTCATACATATTGTACATAGGGCAGGGACAACTCTTGGTACACAGGTCCTGGTTTACAGTACGGGACGCTTAACCTTTCTTGCTTGCCAAGACGTTGTTGGCTAATCATACGTTATCACTCGCTCAACCAACAACAGATCTCGGCACAACCGCATTCGGATGGATTTTTCTTATTATAACCCTCAATTTTAAACTCCCAAATAACACCCACTACGTATGTTCCGCATGCAGAGCTATGCCCTCTCTCCGTGTACACTTTCATAATCCCATTTATATCATAAGCCAAACCAAACAAGAAACCAAACAAACGAAAGAAGCCTTGCACAGCATGAGTGAATCCCCCCACCCCTCCAGAAAAAGAAAAGAAAGACTCATAAATCAAACGGAAAATAACCCCCACTACTCTGACCGTTTTCTAACCGTCGGCAACGTCCACCAAATACCCTCCATAAAGACAAACAGCGCAATACTGACCGGATGGAGCACCCACGCCCCAAAGCGACTCGCCAACAGTCCCGTCGTGAATGGCGCAACCGCACCGCCGGATGATCCAATAGCGGATATGAGCGATAGCGAGGTGACAAGTAAGTGGCTATCGATCAGCCGTGTGACGATCGTCATGGTGCACGGATATATGGGCCCCAAAAGGATCCCGACGATGGTGACGAACACGGCATTGGATATGATGCTGGGAACCGTCCAGACGAGGACCTGGAAGAGCGCCGAGCCAAGAATAAGGCAATAGACTGATCGCTTTTCGCCAAAGCGGTGGCACACGGGGGAGAGGGCGAAGCGGCCGAGTGTGATGCCTTTTGAAAAGAGCGTTAACGTTTCCCCCAATATATCTTAAAGGGGTAGAGGGTGGTAGTACCTGCCCAAAAACCGGAGACGACATAACCAACTTCAGCAGGATCTCCGTTTCTTGATGCGATCAGGAAGGACACGGTCCAGCCACCAATTGCAACTTCAGCTCCCTATTCCATTCATTCATCATTCACTAGTCAGCTCCGACTGTTCGATTGATCAGCTGATGAGAGGTATTATAATATTTACCTGGTACGCGAAGATAAACAGCGACGTTAATAAGGCATACTTATTCTTCAGACTCTTCTTCAAAACCTCTCCCTTCGACATAGCACTACCCCCAATCTGGGCCGCCACGGGGATGGGACTGTCCTTCTCACTCCCCCTGAAAACCCAAGGGACGAAGATAGCGTTTACCACCGAGAGGCCGAGAAGGATCAAGTAAAAGTGTGACCACTTGATCCCTCTCGACGCCATTGCGGTTGCCATCAGCGGTGATATCGTTCCGCCGACGCCATATGAGCCTATATATATAAAGCGGATTTAGTTTCTTCGCCGGAGCACGCATACAAAAGTGGGTCGGTGCGGCGGATCACCATACCATGGACATATCCAAACAGTGTCGTACTGTTCTGCAGACTCGAGCAGAAAACATTGCATTGCGCCAGCATCTATCAAGCCCGCCGGCCACCGCCGGAGATTAGCTTCTTGAACCATTCCACCATATCCCCCACCTCCTCCAACCGGATAGGGATTCTTACAAACGCCATACCCGCACCTATCAAGAAGTAGCTAGCCACGACCACGCCCCAAGGCGGAGCACAAGAGATAGTCAAGAAGGCGACGGCAAGCAGCAGCACCCCAATAAACAGCGTCCGCGCCCTCCCGATCCTGGAGTAAATTGCCTGCGAGATGAAGGCTGCCGTGACGAAGCCAACTGCGTTCGCCAGGAAAATAAGAGACACAACTGCGTAGCCGATGCTGTAGTGCTTCTCCATATAGGGGATTAAGGCTCCGGGTGCAGCATCGCTGACCCCGTTGGTGAAGATGAGCATGCAAGCTGCGAGAAGTCGCCAGCGGTTTATCGAAGGACTATTTTTGTTTTATTTACATATTGGTTAGATACATGCATCTGAATAATAGGGAAAGCTTCAATGCCATGTCGCACGGAGGAGTTTGCATTGGCATGGGCGTTCAATTGCAATTATTGAAGCTGTATATCAGAATGGCTCACCTGTTCACACTAGGCATCAAACCCACAGCTTGCACCCCATCTGCAGCTGCAGTCGTTTCATTCTGCTGTGGACTCGAGGGTCTACTATTCTCCAGAGCGCTTGGAGTCGTTGGCTCCGTCTTTGGAGTCTGAAAACCACTCGTACTGGGACCGCACAGTTTCCTCAATTCGTCCGGGTCCGTCTCGGTGTATCCTGGGGTTGTGGCATGGTGCACTGGCTGCTTGTGGTAGACCGGCGGTATGCTTTCAAGTTCAATGTGGAACGCTGGGCCTCGGCCACCAAACAAACTCATTTTGGTTGGGAAATATTGTCCTGGTCCGTCGTGTGGATATCTTTTCAGCTTCGAATTCGTCGTCGACAATAAGATTGGATCCTTTCGGCCGCTGCTGTTACAGTCAATGATTGGGGAGGGATTAATATTTTTTATCTCTTTCGAATTTTCTCTGCCTTTGAGTCCCACAACTTAAGAGAGTTTTTCTATATATTACGAAAAGCCTCATGATAAGACAAAGCTTGCTACTTCTTGTATCTGACAGCCCAACTAATCTAATCTAACCAGATGTGATTTCAAAGCACGCATATCTGCTGCATCTCTGTGGTTCAGTCTCGGCTAATTGCAGCTAACTAACCCAATAGTGCAGTTCTATGAAAAAACGGAGCAATTGCGGAGCACTATGCTCCGATCACTCATCTCTCTTTTAGGGGGGTCCGCCACTATACATATGCACACTCTGCTCTTGGCACACTCGGAAGAATCTCTGAGTGGCCAGGAAAATTCCCGTACCTTCGGTAATCCAGTAACGGGTTACTTAAAACAGGGGTGGAAAGACGGGGTGGAAAGAGAGATAAAAAAATATTTTTTCACGATAAGAAAACCGCCTTAATCAACCTACTCTAGTCTCTACATATAGCACCTGCTGACCTGGGTTTTGCACGATGGTACTCTACCTGTCTGGGTTGATTGAACCTTGCCGGTTGTGGAAAGGAAACCACGGGCCCAGAATTATCTTATTAGAATTTCTACTCTGATGCCGATGCCAGCGAGGTAGGGCAGGACCGGCTCGGGATTTTCACCAACTGGCGGTGGTATATTCAGATGGTCATTGAGATGCCCAGAAATTTGGTGTAATGTTTATGTACTCAATGGACTCATGACTGATATCTAGAGACTGCTTCTAAAGAGTCTTAATTAGCAGAATTCAGATAGGACCGTGGCCTCAGATGTGTTGTCTGGCCGTGATCATTTCTCTGTCTCAATTTCTTTTTTGTCTAGAGCATCGTTATTCTGGACTTGATCAACCTGGGGGTTGAGCACGCGGGCAGGATCAAGTCATTTAAAATGGCTTTTTTTTTTTAACCAAGAAAAAGTATATATAAAAATAAAATATAAATACAGTTGCCGAAAAAGGGCTTGCCTTGGACTGCCTTGCCGTCCTGAACCAGAATTAGTTGAAGCGGGGAGTCTCGGGAGTCAGTGCCCCCCCTTGCCCGGCGCCCTCTTGACTCGCGAAAAAGCTTAAGTAAAACACTTGGTAAATCCTTTGCCCTGAACTAGTCGCTTTCCAGCTTAGTCTGTTGCAAGCCCAAAAACGCCATGTTTAGAACATATGCACAGATTGGCAGGAATTCCTAGATCCGTGAGAAAAGGATCATCGAAACAGAGCAGAACCGATGAGAGTACAGCCAAAAACAATTTTACTGCTTTCTTTTCCAGTTCCGTCTCTCTCGCTGTATGTCTGTATGCAGTTGAGTAATCCAGCCAGCTGAAGTTAATTATTGACACATGCATTCCTTTTCGCATCCTCTACCCCGCAGCAGTGATTATGATGAGAAGCCTCCGAGATAAGAAACCATACCTATATCTGTAAGTTTAGCGAGAAGGATGTTTGCGGCGTGGTATCTAGGTTCTTGTCGTTCCTGTGGGAGTCACTGCCCAGCCAGCCTGATACGGCCCGGTACGTCGGTATGTATGGCCTCAAGTGGAATCCCGGCCAGAACGGATGAAGAGGAGGGGGGGCCGGTGGTACGGCTTGTGAGTTGGACCCTGGTATGTTGGTGTGCCGGACCGCTGTTCCAGGGTTGTGGATGATCTTCCGCGGGAGTGCGATTTCCTGGTAGTGGTGGCGGCGGTGAGACATATCCTTTGTATTTTTTAGAGTGTTGGTGGTGATGTGGTGGTGATGTGGTGTGGTTGTAGTGGGGTCAATGATCGGTGCGATTTAATTTCATCCTTCTGCGGACTCCGGATTCTGGGCGCGGCGAGGGGGTAGTGAGTAGGAAGATGTCACTAGGTGTCAAGACAAATGCATAGGTGGGCTCGCTAGCCTTGATACGAAAATACATGTATATATCTCCGTACCTTAATGTAGTTGTAACTACATGTACTACATGTACATACATGTAGTCCCACCTTCCAAGCAGCGAGTGACCGCCCATGACTGCAATAACAACAAGCCACCCACCCATCCCGCCCTGACTACACTTATCTACCCCAGAACCGAGTAGAACCATTCGCACGTTCTCTAATCAAAACCTTGCTTGCACCACCGCTCTATGCTGGGACGACTAATAGCATAGGGAGAGGGTAGGCAGATCGCTGCGCGTGCCGAGACGGCGCGCAGATGTACATACCTATACGTATTAGGGTGAGAAAACAACGCATTCTGACTGGACCAAGCTTTTAGAGCTGGGCCGCCGAGGAAGTTTCTGCACGCCCGCTTGATACCATGGTCTGAGGCCTAACACCGGCTGAAGCGTTTAGCTCGGGAATTATGCCAAGGATAAGTAGGATTTACCTAGAGGGGTGCGCATGCTCTTGGGGGGAGAATTGGTGAGATACATCTCATACCTGAGCCTGTAGACTAGTAGTAACTCTCTTTGATCAAGAGGGGCGAGGCCTACACTCTCCGTGAAGGCGGATTACAACAGTTGAGGACCGTCATATGCATCCCCCCCGCTGTTCCCAAGGTTGTTGCTTTTTAGCCAAGCTGGGTGATAGTACTACTATAGTCGGATTAAAGATATTGCTATCGCCACTTTGAGTACTACCCTCACCTCTCCAAGTATCGCCGTGAAGCGTTGCGGCCAGTATTAACCACTTCCGGCAGTCCTCCTTTCCTGCTTGAGCCTAGCAATGGGCTTAAAACGCAGTGATTTTTCTGTACAAACGAGGGAATGCATACTACATGTAGTTAGTATTGAAGGGGACAGGAGGATCAAGCAGTGGAGTTAGAGTAGCGGACATGGGCACACCGTGTCTTAATTTTAATGCTAAACCTAACAGGAACCAAGATTAAGAGCCTAGCCAATAAATGATGTAATAAACAATCAGCCAAGAGCCTAGTGGTATCTGGGAACCGAGTGATAGACCATGATTAAGTGATCGAATCAGCGGTCCTAGTTTTTGTTACCTTTGACGGCGGGTGCGATATGTTACTGTATGGAATGCTACTATACATGTGTAGATCTGGGGATACATGTGTGATGAAGGGGGCAATTTTTACAAACTCTACGATAATATCAGAAGTAAAAGAGAAAAAAAGAGAAGAAACGATCATCTACATAGATAGAGTAGAAAACTCATTCATTGCAACCATTCCCAAGTCCTAACTGCCTAATGATATCCCGAAGCATCAAATCATGTCCACAAGAAAAAATAGCACGCATATCCCCCTCTCAGCAAACAAAGACAACCCCCCGAAAAGGTAAAAAAAAAAAAAAAAAAGAAAGAACCCAAACTTTTACCCCTCCCCGGGCCCCCCTCCCCCAAGCCCCACCACAACTCACAACCTACACAACCCCCTCAGACTCAACGCCTCCTCCAGCCACGACCTCCCCCCACCCTCCAACCCCTCACAAACAACCCTCACCAGCGCCGGCGGCCGCAACCCCATCCTCTCAGCCCTCTTCCATCTCTCCAGCCGACTAACGCCCATGCACGGCCCGTACTGGCTACTCATGTCCCAGTGCCTCAGCACCTTATCCTGCAGGCTCATGTCCTCCTGATGGAGCGGCTGCGAGCGGCGGGTGCCGAGGATGTGTGTCTTGTAGTACTCCGCGAGGGCCTCGTTGGTGACTACTTCTCTAGTGGTAGTAGGAGAAAGAGTGGCTTTGTCAACGAGGGGCGAGGAGGAGGGTAAGGAGGAGGGCGAGGCGGCGGAGATAGAGATAGAGGTGGATGCCCGCTTCTTGGGGCTTGCGGCGGTGTCTTTCTTCGCTGCTGGGTGGTGGGTGGTGCTTTTTACAATCTTGGAGGGGGTCTTGAATGATAAGACTGCCTGGTGGCCGCCTGATGAGGACCTTGACATTGCTCGTCGTGGTGGCATTTTGATGGGGTATTTGTTGTAATTTTTATTTGTATTGGTGCTGGTATTGGTATTGTATTTTTACTGTTATTGCTCTCAGCTGAAGCTCTGAGTAGGTAGGTACACAGTAGGAGGAGTCATGCCGAGAAGCTAGGCGACCACAAAGAGTGCGGGGACTATTTATTCGCTTAACTCAGAGTAGCCTGATACAGACATGTATGTATGCACGCCTTAAGTGGTTGCTTGGTATGACGTCACGCGTTTGTGTGTCCGTTCACGACGGGTCTACATAAGGCCAGTAGCCACTAAAACCACCCACCCCCTCCACCTCGCCTCCCATATCAAAACAAAAAAGATACCCAGCCAAAATTCAAGTCCAAATTCCTAGAAATAAACCATCTTCGTGGCAAGGGAATAAGATCCCGTATAGAGAAGGTGGAATGAACAAACTATCCAAATGATACCTACAGATAAAACACCATCACCCAAGCCCATAAAACCAATAGAAAAAAGAAAAGAAAAAAAGAAAAGAAAAGACCGAGCCACTCCCGAAAGAAACTGAAAAAAACACAAAAGACAACCAACGCAAATATTGAACAAGAATTAGTAGTAAAGTGATGAAGTAAGAGTTTCATGAAACTATAATACGGTAAGAGGAATTGATGAAGTGATTTAAATTGTATGGTGATCTTATTCTCAAGCTTTGCTGTAGTTTCTACAGGCAAAAATCGTCAGAACGAAACTACATTTTTAGTAGTAATAAGTAGTGGTGCTAATAGTGTGATGGCGGTAGTGTGATGGTGCTAGGAGATTCTCGTTATTGCGTAGATATGGGCTTCACCGGGCGGCATGATTGTATCATCTCCTCGGCGGCCGTACACCCCGCCCATTAACTGCCTGCCCATTAACTGCCTGTGGCGCATTAATCGCATACTGCATATATTGGTCAACCCGATTCAACCTTCCACCAATCCCTATTAGGGCCGCCGCGGCCGGATTCGGGGCCTGAGGTCGTCGATGAAGTACACCGCGGTACTGGGCTTGTTGTTGTTGTGCTTCTAATTGCTGCGCTCGTTCCTGCGCTTGTTGCTGCGCTTGCTGCTGCTGCGCTTGTTGCTGCGCTTGTTGCTGCGCTTGTTGCTGTTGTAGAAGATCTGGTTTCGGAAACCCGCGATATTGCGCTTGCGGCTGTGCCTGGCCGTAGATGTAAGGGTCGTAATAAGCCATGGGATTCTGGTTCGCAGGCGGATTAGCCCCGGCCGCAGCACGTGCCGCTAGCTGGGCATGCTGGGCTCGCTGTACTAGTAATTGCTGAGCTTGAGGTCCCTGTTGGGCTTGTAATGCTTGTTGCTGCTGGACTTGTAGTGCCTGTTGCTGCTGGGCTTGTAGTGCCTGTTGTTGCTGGACCTGTAGTACCTGTTGCTGCTGGGCTTGATGGGCTTGCTGCTGCTGCTGGGCTTGTAACGCCTGTTGCTGGGCCAAAAGTACCTGTTGAGCCTGGTGTGCCGCTGCACCAAGTCCGTTACGCATATGTTCTCGAATTCGTTGAGCCAGTGGGCCTCGGCGATGTGCTACATCTGGAACATAGGCAGCGACGCCGGCTGCTTGTGCAGGTCGTGCAGGCTGCGCAGGTTGCCGGTATACAACACCCGGATTTGCGGCCTGGAACTGGGCAACCCGAGCTTGTTCGGCCTTCTTTACGGAATCCGAGACTTGTATCTGGAGATCTTCTTCATTGAGGTCAGGATCGGTTTCTTTGAGTTTTTCGACCGCTTTTTTGGCAGCTGCTTGGATTTCTTGCTCGTGACGCTGGTCGGTGTTGTCAAAAAGAGGACAGTTGCCAGGCTTTCCACCACGAGCCGGATCGTTGAAATGATCGTAGTTTTTGATGGTCTCAGAGCAGATGTAGCTAAATACGGGGATGGGTTTTAGTAGTGAGCTCCCCAAAATCTAGGAATAAGCATATACATACCACTGTAAAGTGTTGCAGCGGTTGCAATGGATTTTATTGCAGCCGTACTCTTTGATGTATGGATACGAGCATTTGCTAGTTTCTATCAGCACTAAACCCGCTTGTTCCAGCTCTCAAGGTACTCACTTGCACTTTCTGACCATCGCCTCGGTCATTGCCTCCTCAACGGTGTGTCTGACAGAAAGCTTATTTTCTTTTGCAAACTCCTCACACGTTTTCGGTATGTGGGAGATTTGCTTGCACAATCTACAGCTGCTCTTCTCGCCTTTCCCGCTCAGTTAGCAAAGGAATCCAGACAAAAATGAAAAGAATCAATTTCCTTACATCCTTCTTTCTGACATGTGAACACCTTATCAACCTCCGCTGGCGCACAAATTGCTCCCCAATCGCAAAATGGACAGGAAACAAATCCATCAATCTCAGCAATCCTCAATGCGTCTTCTTGCTCAATCTTAGCCAACGCCTCTAGCGTCTTCTCGTCGAGGAACCGTAATATCTCCGACCTCGAAAACTCGGTCTTACAACCGGAACCGTCCATACACAATAGCTTATATCGACCATTCCCAATCTCGTTCTCGGCATTTTTTCTGGCACAGTCCAGACAGAAGAAGTGCAATTCATTACAGTGCGTCATTCTGTCAAAAGGGTAATCCCCAAAGCAACAGGCACACTCCATGAGCATATTGTTTGCTTCATATTCTTTCTCATTCATCTCGGCAGCAATTTTCGCGTCGTTCTCCGTCTGCTTCTTTACTAATCGGCAATCAGCTCCACTGTAATGGTTATGGGGAAGGGCAAGAAGAAAACATACGCTTTGCTTGTCTAGCTTTGTTCCTCGACCACTCTAACTCATCCGTGACCTTTGTCCACATTTTCCCCATCTTCTCCCGCCCATCCAAGTTATCCACTTTCCTAGGCTGGTTCAACTTCTTATAAGGTTTTGGATTGGTTGAATCGTATGTGCGCTCAGTTTCCAACAACGCCGCATAAGCCGCCGCCAAAAAATTACGTTTCTGGGCGACGATTTTATTGATATATGCAACTGGCATCGTGGGAAACTCCTGCCTTAATAATAGCCTACTGCAGAGAAGCTCAAGTTAATACGATCATTTCAGCCTTACCAGTAGTCACGTGAGTAGGCGGGGTAGGTAGGTAGATAGAAAGGCAGTGCTTACACCAAATCTGAGTACTCGGGGTTTGTCTCTCTCTCTCTATCTTCAGCCTCGTAGTTTTTCTCAATCTCCTCCTCTGCCACTGAGCGTTTCCTTTTAAGCCCCGGCTTTGGCTCCTGCTCAATACGCGGATATCCGTCTTCGGCTAACTTATTTGCTATAAAATCCGTAATTCTTGGGCCCTGTAAAGCGGCGTTCTCTTTATAGAGCTTATGTATATGTTCCGGGCATGCGTCGGGAAATATTGTGAGCACACCAGCTAGATACTCGTCGACTTGATGGTTGGGTGGCAGAGGATCCTCCTCCAGTGGAGGTTGAAGTTGTGGTTGGGGCTGGTGACGGCGGTGCTGCTCAATGAGTATATCAGGCACATCTTCTCCATCAGTATCGTCATAGTCGTCCCAATCGTTGTCTACTGCATCATCATCATGATCTGATATTGTCAGTGCACCGAATGAATCAGCCGATGAGGAGGGCGAGAGGAGCTGCGGACGTAATATAGGGGGGTTCGCTGCTAGAGCACCTGGTTTGAGAACAAGGGGAGCGGGAGTCCGGTCATGATGTTGCTGCTGTCGTCGCTGCCGTTGTCGTTGTTCTACTTCCTGTTCCTGTTGCTCGAGTAATCGCACTGATTCCTCTTCATCCATTTCAGCAAGAATCATCTCGGTAGCTGCCTCGACGTCTCCTTGTGCTTGTCGTAAGGCCCGTGCTATGCTCTCAGCATCGCGCCCTGCGAACATTTCTCGTAATCGCCCTAATGGGGTATCCATATCTGTCCTGTGCCGGCAGCGTCGAGTGGGAGAGTCGATGATGATGTGTTGTATGTATGTGAGGGGGTGGTGACATATAGTGACAGAGGATCTGAGGGAGTCGGTATCTCGGAGGAAACGAAGCAGTTGATGATAAGGGCTCAGTCAACGGCTTTCGGAGGGAGGCTCTCGGATGGTGGGAGACGGTGAAAATACAAAAGTCACGGATCGCGAAAATAGCGGCTCTTCACTATTTTTATTTATATTTTCCTGTGGGCGGGACGGGGCCCCTCTAACGTTACTTTAGCAAGCTTGCTAAGCTGGGTACAACTGGCTGCTAGGACGGTAAATTAGATACAGTTGAATATCCACTGTTGAACGCCTGATTTGAAGGAAGTGGAGCAAGCAAGCAGATCGCATTCTATCTAGCCGCAGTACATGTACATATTTACCTGTTGCTCGCCAGATCTCGTGACGGGATAAATTGTTACAGATGGTGAGTCTTAAGATAGTAGTACCACAATCAAAATGCAGCTAGGCTGGTAGAGTGGGCAAAGGAAGATTATCGATGTGACTGGGGGTTACTTAAAGTGAGCGCTTGGGAGAGAAGCTTAAGGTGGAGAGGAGCCAGGGTTACAGGGACAACAACGACAACAGCGGCGATATGAACCTCTTTCCTCCATTCCCACGATCCTTTCTTCCACGCGCCCATGCTGGCTGGTCGTTTGGTACTAGCTACATGCAATTTGTAACCCCCCTAAACACCCGGAATAACGGCTTTCTCCCTCAATTCAACTATCGTTCTGCAGTAAATTGACGCCCAGTAAGGAGGGAAAGAAAACTTTATTTGTTTACCGATCTGTCAAGTTTCAAACGAAGCCTTAGGCCATATTGAAACCGAATTGGGGGTAATTAGCGTAGGTGGCAGAATTTCGAAACATTGATTGGACTACAAGAGGTGACCCTTGCTCGGGGATTGTCTCACGAGAGAGTGCTTGGTCATTTTTCGCACGTATGTACCCCACACTCACTCTCCTTGGACTCCTCTTCAATTCGTACTCTAGATACTAGATAGGATAGACATTAAAGGAGTACAGTAAGTTCAGAGTTCACAAGCTTCCTACGGGAATTATAACGCTGTATCAATCCAATCCGTGCAATGCCGTAGGCATAATGGGATCAAGATATTTGGAAGGATATTTAGAAAGAAGAGATGGTGCTCGGCATACCACATAGAGCACATACATGTAGCCTATCATGTAAGTTGACTCACTAGAACAACCCATTGACTCACTTAATTAAGCACAGATGTTTCTCCCGTCGTGAATACTAAAACCAACACTTAAGCGAATAAATTAGGTTATCTGCTTTGCATGCACTGACTCTCCTTTCATGAGTTTTCGCACTGTTTCAAATCTCAAAGTGTAGCATAAATTATCACTCGCCCAGTGTCCCAATGATATTCAACCAGATGATATACCCTATATACCAGTATCATTGATGCCTATAATAATGAGCTGTTAATTGCGCGGGGCTTCCATTCCTCGCTGTGGCCCCTTACTTCCGGGGAGAGGTTTTAAAGGACATCCGCGCGTGATTATGAACTGTTTAGTGACACGTCCACATCTCTATATTATTATTATTAATAATACATCTTGATACATGGTATAACCTGCACAGTCGGCTCAAAATTGGGAAGCTACATGTATCTAGCCAAGCCGTCAAACCATCAGTTTAAACCTGATTCTTATTGCATGTACAAGCAGTCTTAACTCTGTTCGCCAACAAAAAGGAAACCCCTTTTAAACAACTGTGCTAAACTTTTAATACCTATACCATGACGGGTGTATTGTGTTAACTTTGATGGGTATGATGTTTGATGATTTTGCATCCCGCCAAGGTCTATCTATGTAGCTTACACTAGGCAACTAGCTGCCCTAACCTCATGTATCAATATCAGATATCAATAATTATCGATTCAGTCCGCCAACTCAGTCTTATCTCACTCGCGACCAAGAGAGATGTATCAATTGCCATCAGCGCTCCTCCACTCAGCTCGGGGTTTGAGACCTCTTTACTGGACCCCGCAGTTCCACCGGACATTTTCCCATGGCATCCACCTCCATCCGGTAGCAGATTCAGCACTACCACTCCTCAACCAGCGCGCACTAATAACCGGCGGCACTCGCGGCATCGGCCTTTCTATCGCAAAAGCACTTGCTAGTGCTGGTTGTTCTTGCGTACTCGTTGGCCGTGACTCTGCCACACTCTCAAAAGTCCAGCATGAACTTGCGATGCCGGGGGGTAACGAGAAACATGGAGTTCTGGCCGGTGATGTCAAGGAACGTAGCTTCTGGGATGAAGTTAAGAAGGGTTATGTTGGTTCACCTCCGATTTTCTAGGATGGTATTGAATGAAGGGTAATTTAGTGTAGACAGACCTAGATATCCTCGTAAACGCCGCTGGAATTACGCATAATTCGTTGCTGATCGCAATGAAGTATGATGCGATTGACGAAGTGGTCAATACGAACCTATTGGGTAGCATATACGGCTGCAGGGCTGTATTGAAGAATATGGTGCGGCGGAAGGGAGGTAGTGGCCTCTTTTTCTGCCAATCCTGATAGAAATGGGTTTATTGATGTCCGATAGGTAAAATCATCAACATATCCTCGGTTCTAGGCTCCCACAAGAGTGGTAAGGGGTCCGCTGCATACGCTGCCAGCAAAGCCGGTGTTCTTGGTACGTATGCCCATACCTTTCTCACACCCACGCACATACCAGCAAATTAACGAACTTCCTAAGGCCTCACAAAAGCTCTCGCAGATGAGTACGGCGCCCACAAAATCCGCGTCAATGCTATTCTTCCTGGATATATAAAGACAGATATGACGGATGGTTCTTTACCCTTAATTATGCTCCTGTCCCTTTCTTATTAGATCGTTTGGTAATGAACTGCTAACGATACCCAAACAGCAATGTCAAAGGAAGCTTCAGAAATAGCATGGAGTCAGATACCCATGAAGCGTTTTGGGGCTTCGGAAGATGTGGCACATGCGGCACTATTTCTGCTGACAAATAAGTACTCAAATGGCAGTGAGGTAGTTGTTGATGGAGGGCTTTCAACCTTCTAGATGCTGGCAATGAGGGTGATGACCAAAACACTAGCGTAATGAATAAGAATGGTTCAGGGGCGATTTGGGAGTGGCTTTCCCTGGGTGAAATACACTATGTAACATATGGATAGAGATACGCCGAAAGACGTAATTTACGAACTTATCTCTAGCTTTTTGAGCTATCTGATAACCGCATCCATAATTACAGCATCAACGGCGATATATAGCTTGGTACTATAGCAGTGGCGAATTCAATTTACAGGGCCTACTTACTTAACAGAGTTTCTCGTTAAGTATAGTTTTACTTCATGATAATGTATTTTAAAATATGGGCTGGGCCTCTTGGAGAACGAAATTCTTCAAGTCCGCTTGGGTCTTATTTAAGATAAGAGTGGATAGTGAAGTTTAAGGTAAGAAGAGTGTAGGAGGGTGTGAGGAAGCGGGGTTAGGATATTGGAGGTGAGGTACGATCGGATAGATGTGATGATGCCAGTAGTTGAGCGTGGAAAGCCTTGTATTATTCTCGAAGCGTGTTCATTTTCATCTGTCCATGGCTTTTGATAAATGCTAGGTGATTATTGTACACTTTGCTCCTGCTTTTATAAATAAACCCGCGCCCCTTCTCCCACTCGCCACAATCCAAAGCCATCCCGGCCCGTTGCTAAAAAAAAAAAAAAAAAACCTTTAAAATTATTCCAGTTGGTTGAAAGAAAAAGGGTTGACAAAGATAAGAAAACAAAACAGATTGCATAACCAAGGGTCCCGATGCTACTCCAGTAGGTAAAAAGCAACCCGCATATGACCATCGTCCCCCAAAGCATTTCCCAATAGCTAAAAAAAAAAAAAATAGTCATAAAAAAGAATGAATAAAACTTACTTTGGTAGGATAGTGCCAGTGAGATTTACCAACAAAAGAAACGATACAGTTCAAAGGAAAGATATCGAGTCTAATCAGCTCTAATCAATAGTGATGAACCCATCATCATCCAAAACTATAATATCACCATCCTTTTTCTCCTCGAAAACCTTAGCACGCTTCACATTGACGCCCCTGTTTTCCACGATGACATCTACCTTTCTCTTCTTTTGTTCGGGTTCGTTCCCATTCCCATTCGCCCCTTCACCGCCAGCAGCGAGAATAAGATCTTCGTGGCTCCGTTTGAGACCATTGGCGAGACCGTTTGTTCCATCCCCGTTTCCTGCCGGTATAGCCTTTAGCTTTCTCAGGATTTCGAATTTTTCCGGGACCATGATGGGTTCACCGTCAGCTGGAAGAGCGGTGTTGGTCACAACAATAACTAGGTTAATCCTTGGTTCCTCCTCATCATCGTCGACAATAGTAACGAAAGTTTCCTCTCCGAAACCAATCTCTGACAAGGGTGTGTCTTTGTTATCATCATAATCGGCATCGTAGAGGAGCTCCTTAGTTAGTAGAGATAGCTCCTCGCCGTAGCCAAGCTGTTCACGGAGAACCTTGTCGACAAGATCACCGATTGTAGCGCGGGAAACGTCTGCTTCAATGGTAATCCTGGCCACACTACAGACTTCGCAATTGGGGTTTGGGGGGGAAAGTTTCTCGCTACTGAATGCACGGTCGGCAGAGCGGGAGAGAAATACCATTCTTGCTGTCTTGTAGTCCTCGCGAAGCACTTTAAAAGCCTGTAGTACACATAGACCAGCAGTTATAGCGTTTGTTGTTGCAATAGCCGGGATGATATTTCCCGCCATTTCTGTTGCCCGTTAGCACACGTACTATCCAAGGTTTACTCTTCTTTCTCATTCAAAACAAACGGCAAAACAGCACATACGTTTAATATCAAACTTCGATTTTGAATCAATCCCAAAGATCAAACTCCTCAAATTTGCGCTTGCAGCGACAAAGTCCAGTGTGTCTTCATCATCCTTGTCAAATGCTAGAATTGGAGCTGCCTCGCCATCCTTCACAGATGCCTTCAGTTCCAGCATCCTCTTAGCCAATCTCTGAAGACTATTCTAGCTGTGTCAGATACCATTCAACACTAGAAAGAGTCCCCTTCCTGGCCAATAAAGAATGATCAACAGGCTAAACCCTACCTATCTGCAAAGACTACGTAGTTTTCAGCCAGCGTCCAAACTTTTTGGTCATTTTTCGCAACACTATTATCGATCTTCTCGGCCTCCTCAGATATTTGTGTGTAGTCGAGAGCTTTGGGAGGCTTGCGAGATTTCCACATATCTTCCATTGATCGGAGACGATCAATGTCAGCTGCAAAAACCTTGCCGAAGATAGTGGCAGCAAAATCAGGAGAGGCCATCTTTTCTCGGATATTCTTCAATTCCTCAGCTTCACGTTTGAGGTTGGCTATTTCCTTGGCTATAACAGTACCAGGATCAGCTGACAAGGTTTTGAAAGAACAGAATGATGATAGTTTTCAAATGAAAAGAAAATACGACTTGGTCCGATGGCCGTGGAACTGTACTATGTTTATAGATCTTCAAAGTTGATTGTAATGATATAAGGCTCCTTGCCATAGCAAGAGTTTAGGGGCAAAAAAATAAGTGGGAATACCATTCTCGTCATTCTCACTTGGATCGACCTCTGGTGAGCTTTCTTCAGAAGTTCCAAAAATTTCACTTTTTAAAGGTTAGCTTTATCGCGATACCAACTCTGGGGAAACTTGTACATACACAAAAAGATAACTTTTAGCCCAAACGATGCAGTGAATGGGCTGGCTAGGCGTGCTTCGGATTGTGCAAACCGGGAAGCTCTTGGGAATTGGTTTATGGGTGCAGTCGTAGCACTCGGTTGTTCTTTGTTTGATAACCTGTACCTGACCATTAAAGCCTGTGGTTCCGCTCTCGATGAGCGGAACATCAGCTGCGAGACACATTTTGTTAACATGCCTCCTTGCATCCAGATTATCCAGCGCATTGAAAACGACATCGAAAGTTTTGAACCACTTGACGTTAAAATTGTGATCTTTGATGTTCGCATGGTGTGCTTCTAGCTTGACATTGGGATTGAATTTCCCAGCCGTCTCTTTTGCGACCTATTTGCACCGTTAGCTAGGCGTTACACTAGTACCCTAGAAATGCACGTACCATTGCTTTCGACTTTTTTATGTGCTGCATCCCAAAGAGGAACTGCCTGTTGAGATTGCTAAGATCTATCGTATCCAGATCGACAATGTGGATCTCTCCAAATCCCGTAAGAACCAAGTTTTTGAGGAGCTCGCATCCAATACCCCCAGCACCGACCATGAGGACCCGTGCCTACCTCCCATATTTCGCGTTAGTAGGGTTCTACTCTATCTTTACAGATTGTTCACTTGAAAGAAAGCAAGAAACAATTCGCCGTTTGCCCTCAGGGTCTGTGCGTACCTCTTTGATCCTTCCGTGCAGCGAACCGAGTGACTTTCGTGGGTTCGTATCGCGTCCCATAACTGCTTGGATAGATGGGACGAGAACAGGGTTGTTTCTTTCCCACCCCTTCCGTGATGAATGGTGGTGTTGCGGTGTTCGAGGTGGAGATGGTGTAGATAGATCCGGACAGGATAGCACACCCAGCTAGAAAAGGAGAGTTTATAGCGATAAAGTTTGAGTTCGGTTGGTTGAGAGATCGAGAGTGAATGACTGAGCAGGGACTAAAACTCAAGGGAGCGCGGCGCGACTAGGATCGAGGAGGCTCTGTAGATGTAACCAGGATACCTTGAGAGACGTGATGAGTGTTCGGAAAGCCGGAGAAGTCCGCTTGAACTCGTTTTGCGGGGATAATACATACAGCTGTAGATAGTGTACCTTCCGTATTTAACGAAGAGGGTGCCAGGTACAATTCATCTCCTACTAGTGGAGAAAGTGGACTAGTGATCCCAGAAACTCTACTACCTATTGCAAACAAAAGGAGAGCTCGAGAGAAAGAAATGCATGTGGAAATTATAGGTGCGCAATAATGTAACTACATGTACAGTTGAGGTTTGTATTGTAAACTATATATGAGTGGGCTAAAAAAAAAAAAAAAAAAACTTCACTGTCCTGAGACTCATACCCTCAACGTCTCCTCAACTCCCGTCATGCAATTTCTTTCCTTTTCCCCACTGAAATCGTTTGTGCATTAGCTTTGAGCTTGGCGTGCATGGCAAATTCCAAGTCAGGTTGATCTTTTGGTACCTGCCTTGTCCTCCCCTTTAAAAACGAGTGATTGATAGCAACAAAGAGTCTCACTTCAATAATTCCCAACTACTTATTTACACCCCTGAAAATTTTTCAACAATGAGCGACGATGATGTTGACCAGGACCTACTCGCCTTCATGCGCAAAGCTTTGGGCTTGGACCCGTCGGAAACAAAAGCTCATCCTACTACAAAGGTTCTTGAAAGCGCCCTATACATCTTCGATAACTCAATCGATGTTGCACTAGATCGAGACTGTGTCATGCAAGCAGCGGAGACAATTTACGATGCAATGCAAAAAAAGGCATACGGAACCTCAACATGGTCTGAACACGAATTACACCCCCAGGAGAAAAACGAGGATACGTTGAACTTCATCTTCACCATGGATGTGTTAAACTTTAGCTTCTGGAGTGGGCTGGAGGATGAGAAGAGATTCTCAGTCGACTATGGGGGAAAGAGGTACACTGGGTATTGGAGTCTGGTCGCCTTATTGAGAAGAGCTTTGGACGAAGGTTTGTCTTCGATTTTTCGTTACCGAGAGCTTAGAACCTCGATTCGCCCCCTCGATAGCTCGCGGTTGGAGATTGTAGCTCTATCTTTTAGCTTGTATATATTATCTACATGTAGTTGTTTACGAGCACTTCTAGTAGGATGTGAACACTTGTCCACATGTTTAACATTTTGGCTGATTGATAAACGCTCGCAATTCCAGGAATTCCGATAACATGTCCATACTTCTGGGTCGATCATACTATCTGCTCCGACGATCTTCTCGCTCATGTCTTTCGATCTGCCACAGACGAACAAATCCCTCTGCTTCAAGAGCGAATAGACTGCCTTCGAGAAGCTGGCGAGGTGCTTTGTGAAGTAGCTCCACCTCTTCTAATCTAAAACACAAGGTCTATACTGACCTGACAGAGATATGATGGAAGATTTGCCAACTGTGTTAAAGAAGCGAATGGCTCTGCCGCCGCCCTCGTAGTCCTTCTCGGCGATGAGTTTACGTGCTTCCGAGATGAGCACAAGTTTGAAGGGCGTCGAGTGAACATTTACAAACGAGCACAGATTCTAGCAGCAGGTATGACTCACCGAAAATATATAGTATATCGATTTATCATAACCAATGAGTCACAGATATTTGGGCCTGTTTCAACAAAAAATCCTACGGCCATTTCACTGATATTGACACAATCACCATGTTTGCTGATTACCGTGTTCCCGTAATCCTTCACGCCCTCGGTTGTCTTCTTTACTCACCCCCTCTTGAGGCTCATATCAAAGCCAAAAAGCTCTTGGATACAGGACATCCATGGGAGGTTCAATTACGTGGAACCAGTATCTGGTGCGTGGAGTTGATTAGACGCCAGATACAGAAGATGCATCCGGAGACAGGAAACCACATCAATGCTATCCTTATTGATTTCTACCTTTATGACACGGCCAAGGAGATGGAGAGAAATAATGAAAAAATGATCCCACATCACAGGACAAGAAGTATCTGGTATTAGGGGTGTGTGGGAAACGAGGGGGTTGGATGGCGGGAGGCCAAGTTGAATGACAAAATTCCGAGGATTAGATACCTATAGATTGATAGATGATACAATTACGGTTTGTTGATAGACTAAAGTGTAACACAATTGCTTTCCTTTTATTTTCTTTGTTACTTTAAAAATAGAATAGAAAGATACTTAGTAGATATGTAAGCATATGTACACATATACTGGTAACGTTTCATACATAAGTATATAGATAAGGGCTACTAAAGGTCCAGCTCGATCCGCTCGAATTAACGTTTTTTAGTACGCTTGAGTAGCTCTGGCATATTTTATGACCATTATGAAAAGAATTGTGTCAATTCCTTTTGATGCAAACTAAAACCTTAGCCTTGAACTGTGACTACCGCTCTCTTGGGCTTGCCCACCAACTATTGAGGTTTATAACCCCCTAGCAGATGCTTCATAGCTAGCTGCACTGGTAACGATCGAAGGTACGATTAAGTTCTTAGAGTGGGCTCTTGCTATAGGTTTTCTGCCATCTTACATGTGTACATATGTTGTATGATTGTAGTTAAATGTAAATCCTACCGGCCACACGCTGGGCTACACCCAAGAAGGATTTAACGCTCCTAACTCTTATCAATGTGAGAGCTAGGGGCTTACAAGGCCTCATGACAACCAACTGCGTAGGAACAAGTCAAGCATGGGTGTTTTGAGTGGTTTATGGCCAGAGATGATCTAAAATATTTATAATAACAAATATATGGGGAAACGCCTTTATAACTACATGTAACTACATGTATTTAGTTACTACTACTATTCTGACAGAAGTGAGATGTGTGTAAGTGATCGTTGTAGGTAAGTACATGTGCGGCCTACACCTAGGCCTGCCATTGACGTAAATCGATATATTATGTAGGTTCTTCACTCCATATATCTAGATTCTCTCTTGCCCTGTTTTATACATTGAAGGAATGGGAATGCGTACGACGATAGGGTATTACGAATACAAAAATGCACCGCGCGCTCTAGCCATGTGCTATTAGGGGCCTTCGCTCAGTTGACATCATGCAACTAACATGTATCCAATCCAGAAACACCTACTAAAATCGACTGTCTTAGACATGTTTCACCTTAGAGCCTTTCAACAAGTCTGCCAATAGATGCTGGTCATTTTCATGGGGGCCAAAACGCGTGCCTCTGTGAACAAATTATCAGTTAAAGACTATTCGCCTCGACTTACTGTGGCTTTTAGAACCGAAAGAATTAGCAATATTGATGATATTTAGCGTTGACATAAATCTACTTGAATTAAAATGACTGGGTGGGAAGAAAACTTAGCAAATGGAAGGCGTTGATTGGTCTAAACCCAAAAGCATAATTAGCACTTCATCCAGGCCATCAGACGGAATATGTCATGCATACATGTAGTGATACTAGTCCATACCACAATTTTCTAGGACTGGCGATGTATACGCATAATAATTGTGAATATCGGAACATGCTGGGATATATGAATGTAAGTGGAAACCGGACTTCAGTCGGCCGGGCTCTATGAAGCTTGAATAAATTATTCCATCTTCTAATATATATCGCATGATAATATTGGAAGCTTAAGCCACTAGCTGCGCAGCTTATGTATTCTCTCTAACTTTGCCCAACAGTCAGATATCTCAGGCCGCTGCGTGGCCCTAGCTCGACCCCTCCTCCTCATGGACAATTACAAAGACCACTCTCACATCTTCAATGCACATGTCTATATACATGTAACGTATACCAGGCAACAGGAAAACCAAAACCATTATCAGCCTCATACAGAAAAACATTTAAGTTGATGGCTTTCAGTGAAACAGAAAGTACCTCAGAGTCAACCAATAAAATAACTTTAAGCTTTATGTTCAATTGCAAGCTCTCCGACATTATGTTTCCTTCCTTTGCACTGAAACTTCTTGATAAATTCCTCCCAAAGAAGATTTTCCGGTTAATTGGTATACTATAACAAACGGGAAACCTCGGTGTAATTATACAAACCTGGCCATAAAGTCGGACAACCCCCTTTAGTTGAATCAATTCCCTAACCCTAACAAATTCTGCAATAGAGTTTCCGCAATTAAAGCTCGAACGGTTGATCAGAAGAGCGAATCGAAATAGATAAAATACTCTTATAAGTACATCATTGATATGCATTTACTCCGCGTGTTAAGTATTACCACTTAATGTTCCGCCTTGAATTCGACAGATGAAGTGAAAATTAATAAGGGCTAATTTGGAGTGCATGTATGTACATGTATGTACAAATTGAGTTAAGCAACAATCCCGTTAGCAATCTGCAGATCACTGAGAAATGATTTTAGTAAAACTCCGTTAAAATTGTCAAAACTACAACTGAAAAGTGGCATGCCAAACATTTCAACTTTTCTCAAAGCGGCGTTTTCAATTGTAATGGCCGTCCCCAAACGCGGCCTAAAACTGAAACGTGCATGTCGTGCGTGCATGTCGTGCAATTATATATGTACCTGGATGCCTCAATACTATATGTACGTACTACTATGGCTGGAGTACTTGAACATACGATTTCCGGCTCCATTGACATACATGCAGTGCATATAAAGTATATATGACGGCTAATTATAATACATGTTAGTATAGTAGCAAAAATGAGTGTATTCCCGTTAATGCGCTAGTAATGCAGCAATAATAGGGTATTGGTACGGTATTTTATTTGTAGTGCCGGTTTAAGTCGGTATTCTTCACTAAATTTCGCAGTACTATGTCATGTATGTACATATGTGCATGTAGTGATCATACATGTAATTTCACCCCGTTTTTTTTTCGTACTGTAGTATAGAGAAAGACTCTACACATTATTGTAGTTCAAGGTAGTCTGATAAAAAAGTTAGCCAAATATACACCAAGATACAGAATATGATCAAGTTTCCCGCCCCAATCCATTTACTACCATGGCCATGTACCGATTGTAGCTGCACGTCGTGGTCATGGGCGGGGCCATTTATATTCCTGCTAAGAGAATGTGTAACTCTCAATCAGACCCCCGCGACACTTCGAGAAAGAAAAAAAGGCTTAGAACTTTTGAATTCGGCTCTTGACTACATGTATACTATGTATCTACGGCGACCAACGATCTAAGGAACAAAGCGTTATGTGAATGGCGCTAGCGCTATTTATTACAACGTCAAACCCAACTTCAAAACAGCTAGTAGAGCAATTGGGTAATTTTGACTCTCATAAATGGAGTTAGATGCTTGCCAGGAATGGGCTTATCTTTCTGACCTCGGAGGCATTTTTTCAGAGTACAGTTTTGGTTGCTATGAGCTTCTCGAGCGTGCCAGTACGTGATTGGTTAATTTAGTAACCCTACAATACCTTCATATGCCTGTAAATATAATAATACAAGTAGACGGCTCTTGAATTATATATGTAGACTACATAATAGACGGTACCAGTGTGGTAAGGATGGAAAGAAAGCAGGACAAAACAGATCAATGTGTATGTAACAACCCAGCCTCCAATGCTAGTGAATCACTCAGGCAACCAATCCTACATTATTATTATTAGGGCTTTCGAGTGATACAATAGTAGGCATGACGATTTTGACTACCTATGTAGTCTTTGACTTAAAGATAACCGAGCGCTTGAACGTCCAAGTTGATGATCAGACATGTGGATGTGCTGCTGTCTCGGCAGGTGGGGAAGGTCCAAGCGAGGATTTGCGCTTCTCCATGAATGATCGACATTGACATGCATAGGCTCAGAACATTGAGGCGTAGCTCAAATCGAACCACATAGATAACTTTCGCTACTCTACTCAGTTCATTGGAATCTCATGGATGGCTAGGTGAATCTAGACACGATCAAATGCGGGGTTTCCCCTCTCCAGAAACTCTAGGTGCAGCTCCAACAGACACATTCAAGTTGCACGTCTCAGTATGTAGAGTACATAGTTATTTTGAAGATAACCAACAGGTGTAATATCCAAGGGTGTATCCATATGGAATGCGCCATGAAAGTTGTATACTAGGTCCGTGGGTATGCCGAAGATTATAAACAAGGATCATTTGTGAACTCATGATCAAAAGTACCTACATATATGTACCTAGTTGTAGATCTTGCAGTTGGTAGATACACCTGGTTTTCATCCCTTTATCTTGGAGATACGCGGGGCTATCAACCACTGAAGAGAACGAGGATCATACTTGGTATCCATAAAATGCGATGAAATCATCAGATATCACTCGCTAAGATATGCATGTCTGTACCTACACCCTTTCGACATCTCTCAACGGATTTCAGCTGAGATCGGGCGTTTTATCGGTTTGTAGGAATCGCCGAATTCGCGAACCAATTAGATTTTAAGCCCGTGTGACTTGTGCGCCTCACACATATCTACTACTCTCGCAGCGCAGCGCTAGCGCGTACGCGGGAAAATAAGGAAATTGAGTATATCTAAAGATTTCAGCCTGGGAGCCTTTGCACAAGCAAATCCAGCTCATTTTCTAGTCCTGATCCTCCCATACGTATACACTAATTAGACAATCGAAATTTAGAGCTCGAGTCTTTTGTATGTACAAAGGCTCCTGGGCCGAACTGGATTAACTGGAAAGCTGTGCCCTCTGTACCGGTCAAGGCAATTGAGGATTACGCACTGGGACGCCGGTGCGATTGAGGCTCAACGCGCATTTGACCAATCTGAAGACGAATATCTTCAGCCCGGTTTTAGAACGATGTGCATGTGGTTTTGCGATGCATACAGCATCATAACACGGCATGTGCAGGTGATATGATGCCTGTGAGGCTCGGTATCAAGGTAGAGCGACTACCTAATTAATAAAGAGACCATGGGGGGTCTTTTTGCTGGGGGTAGTGAAAGCTCCGATCCACGTCTTTATTGAGCCCCATTTACATCTTTAACCAGGACCGTCGTTTATGTTCCTATGTCAGTCTAATCATGGTTATATCTAGAGTACTTTATAATGGATTGATGTGAATATTCGTTGTCTGCGTATGTACATGTACCCTTGATTTTGGAAAACCGAGAAGGAGACCGATAAGCAGCCCAAGCAATGCATCCAACATTAACACGCAGTAAGCTGAAAACATGGTGTTTTGCCTCAAAAAGCAGCTTAATTGAGGCATCTACCTGCACAGCTGCAGAGATCTGGTAAAAAGCTTGGCGGTATCGCTTGGTCGCCGAGGCTGATGGCGTCATCGCTGACATATAGCAAACCGCAGTGTGACTTGCAAAGTGTAGTTACGGGCTGTACGGGCTGAGTCCGAGACATAGGTATTTCGAGTTGTCAAAAATGGTGGGACGCAACAGGCTTCAACGTAACAATCTCTCAAGAAATACTAGAGGCTCAAAATATGTTTTCATTCTGTATTGTCGTTCGTTGGTGGCGGGGTTGGGTGGTCGTTGCGGTCCTGTTGTGTCCCATTATTTTTGACAACCCGCAATACATGCAGTTAATTCTTTAAATTCTTTCCGCCTTTGAACCTCAAATTGTTAATCAGTGCTCTTGGTGATTTCTAATTCTCAAGGTAGCCAGCTATTGTGGAATTTACCTGCCCCTTCTATCCATCTCTGCCCCTCTCTCAATGCACTTGTAAGTACCAAGCCAAGGATTCCGAGATAGAACCCCATCCTTATGTGGAAGGAACAAACCACGTTTCGGCGCACACCTTTACTAACTGACCCTCGCGTTAAATAAATAGCCATCGTTCTCTTCTTCGTGATCCTACTCACCACCCTATTAAAGTGGTACTAGCAAATCAACAAAAGTTGCTTCGTCTCTTACCTTCCTCTACTAGAATATCAAGGTCCCTGGTTTTCCCTTCAACCCCGCTCTCTCGTCTATCCATCACAACCACAGCCCCACTTCAATCCCAACGATTCTTTCAGTCCTCGTCTGTCAAAATGGTCAAAGAACTCAGCTCGTAAGTTCTTGCCTACATCTCTTCAAACAGCTTCCCCATATGGGGGATGCTCCTAATTTGATGTCCACTTCGGTATGCTGACTTCGATGGATGGATGAAGTCACGATGAATTCAAGTCGGCCATCGATTGTGACAAACTCGTTGTTCTTGACTGTTACGCCACATGGTGCGGTGAGTACTCATATCCATCGTCAATGCTCTGCTATTTGCTGTAGTATGCTGATATATCATTTTGTCCAGGCCCTTGCAGGGTGATTGCCCCAAGGATCGTCGCCTTCTCTCAGGATTACCCCGAGATAGATTTTTGCAAAGTGGACGTCGATGAAGTACCATCAGTCGCGTCGGAGCTCGGCGTTCGTGCTATGCCTACTTTCTTCTTCTTCAAGAACGGCGAGAAGATTGGAGAAGTTGTCGGCGCCAACCCAGCTGCAATTAAGGTAATAAACATCCCAAAATCCTACTTACACACACACAATAAAGTCTAATTTGTCTTTACAAACAGTCCGCTATCGAAAAATACAAGGCCTAAAAGGTTGGCTCTGCCTTAAGGGAAGGCGGGTGTGGGTGGGGCTGGTTGCTTCTTCGCGAAGCACTAGGGACGAGGGCTTTCAAGATGCCTCGTTTGAAGTGCTTTTTGTTTTGAGAATTCGTTAAATAGTTTCATCAATCAACGAGATCCCATCAAACAAAGGTTTGCGTTAAAGTGTTTATTGGTATTATATCTTAGGCTGCCTCATTGCCTGCATGCTATTAAATCAAACATGCAGCTCCTTGATTCCAACAGTAATAGTGGTTGTAGCCCCCTCGGTTTCTTTATTCTTATTAGCAGCCCTCTCCCTATCCCTAAGCTTCTTGGCTTCTTTCTGCTTGAGCTTTTTTTCACGTTTGGTATCGCGTCTTGGTTTTTGAGTGGGGGGTTGCTTTTGTGGTTCGTTTGCTGAGATCGGATCATTTGGAATATCATTTTTGAGCGTCTTATTCTCCTCATTGTCGTTTAAACGAATAGGAGACCTTTTTGGGCGGATAGTCTCCTTTTTCTTTAACTTTTTTACGCTCAGTTCGTCCTTGGGCCCCTCGACATTTTCCACATCTTCTTTTTCTCCCAATACTACTACTATCCCATTCTCTATATCTTCCTCCGTAGACTTTGGCGAAGTTGGCCTTGAGACATCATCCCTTTCAAACGTTGATTTAGAGTTCTCTGCTTCGTACTCATCCAACAATTGGGAAACCGCTTCGTCGACATTCCCCTTGCATTTCTCTAGCACATGACGTATCTTTCCTGGGTCGACAATATACGGTAGACTCGAAGCTACCACCCCTTCCATCCATGGGAGCACATACGATGTTTCTGCAAGCTTCCGTTCCTGTTCTCTTCTGCCCTCTTCAGTTAAAGGCACTGGAGTGACATTTGGAGAGCCCGTGTGAGGGCCGTCACGGTTTCGAATCGACGAGTAATGTTCCCATGTCTAATAATCAAAATGACAACGGAAGATGAATCTTGTTTTGTAAAAGCCTAAGTATATGGGGGCAAAAGCTTACATGATACGCTATGTGCGCCGTTTTCTTGGACCCGTCGCCGCCGCCCGATACGACGTACGCAAACTCTCGTTGGTAGATTTTGACATCGCAGTTGTACTCTCGTGCGAAAGCACTGATCTCCATATTGTCCCCGTAGACTCCTGGCTGAGACATGGTCTTGAGATGTTGGGCGAAAGCCTTGTCTATGGCATCCACGGTGGGCCCAACGGTGGACCCTGCGGTATGGGCTTTTCTTTTGGGTGCTCTGCGGGCTGTATCGACATCAAGGAATAATTTGAAGTATTCTGCATGTGTCCTCATATCTGAAGTAATGGAGCAAATTATTACGTTAGTTCAAGAAAGTTGAATGGGGGCTCACTTGCGTTCCACCACCTTCTCGCGGATCTCCACATGGTTATTCTCATGGCCGTATATCTATGGAAAAGTTAGAATATGACGTCTCAAAGTGATAGGTCTATAGATATATATTGATCAATTGGCCCCCGGAGAAGAGTGTGCACAGACCTGGTCGCTGAGTGCGTGGAATAAACAATTCCCGTCACCAGATATATCAGAGGCATATAGGCCGACCCCGGCCAATAGTGGGAACTCTTCTGAGTAATGAGCGCCCCCCATCTCACTAAAGTACTGCGACCAAGAGAAGGAAAGGTATGTCGGTATTAAGTGGGTATTTGAAGACGGCGCCGTTCCTGGCAGCTACATATGTACTTTGTATGTCGTGTGCTACACACCGCCATCGCGTATTGTTCTTGGCGAAGCAAAAACTGTATGACGATCTTAAGACTTCAAGGATCCTAATTATGGTCTTGTCGTCCGTTTAAAGAATAAGCTGATCCGGGGGCTGCAATTCTAATATAAAATGTATTTCACTCAAAGTATATGCGGGGTCCTTCGGCCAGTCAAAGCAAAGCCAAGGCGGGTACCTAACAAGCTCATAGAGAATCACTCGGCTGTACGTAAGGTTCTCTTCTCTAGAGTGAGGGATCCCAATACCTACATGTACTTGTGCGAATCGATTTCCAGGAGATTACTATCATATTGTCTAAGGAGCTCAGTCAGATCTGGAGTAACAGTGAAAAACCACATTTTTTGATTACAGATAGGTACTGATGACTGACATGACACAGAGGAGAGCTATCGAATGCTTGGCGCGGATTTGCTTGGCACAGCTGTCCCAGCTCGCTGACTTCCTTCCTTCCTTCTTAAGCCCCTCGTTTGTGCATAAATACAACATCTTCACCCCAAACAACTGAGCTGCCATGAACAACCAAACATATTATGAGCTCTACCGACGTTCTAGGTTGATAGTCTTTCAGTCCCCGGCCCGGGATATCACTTCATGAGGGCTTAACTAACACTATTCGGGTAGCATCGGCATGTCACTCACCGATGCTCTGGACGACCTCATCAGTGAGGGTCGCATCGCGCCCCAGCTTGCTATGAAGATCTTATCTAACTTTGATCGCACCATTACTGAGGTTTTGGCTGATAAAGTCAAGGCAAATTTGACGTTCAAGGTTTGTTTTTGGCCCTCGAAAGCTGTGGAGACGAGGGAGCTAAATAGTGTCTGCGAACTTAGGGCCACTTGGACACGTACCGCTTCTGCGACGAAGTTTGGACCTTTTTGATAAAGGATGTCACTTTCAAATTTCAGCAGCCACAAAACCCCAGCGTTACGGCAGAAAAAGTCAAGATCGTCTCTTGTAATTCGAAGCGACCTGGGGAACAGTAGTCGCGTTGCACCTTAAAGAATGGGAGCAGTGAATATGCGATAGGTTTGGCTTTTGAGCCGCCTATGTATATTTTTATAGATGAGTTGATTGATATCAACCTTGTTTTCTGCGTGGGAACACCGGTGCGTACGCTGGCGTCTGTATTTTAATTGGGATTTCTTCTTTGGCTATGTTCGCCATGGATGGCGTTGTGTGATTTTCTTGTCAGTGTTTTCCTGCTTAATAACACAAAAATATGAAATGATCTTGATTTTAGAAGCTATACCCGTTGAAATCTTGAAACCTTTGATCGTGATCGAAAAAAAATCTTGCGGATTTAGGCACCCACTCACTTATGCATAGCAAGCTTATTAGGCATCGAAGCTCTGCCTGAACCACTCCAGTTTCTGCCCAGATGCGACAAGTCGTCAAAGCTGCAACCAAATTTTGGTACCGATCCACACTTTATGGTTCCGGACATGTATAATTGGTGGGCACACGTCTTCTCTGTCTCAGGTTCAAACATGAGTATTTCAATGTGAATGTTCACCCCGAGCTTCCTTGCGTCGCTGACCACGTGAGTTTACACGTCCACGGCACGTTGCCTGCTGACCCTGGAGTAATAGGGTCTCAAACTAAAGCTTTCTGCATTGAATCCACCTTTACCTTTAATATCGTTCATCCTAGGCTCGTTGGGATGGGCACGAGACTATGTTCAACCTAATTCTACTTGCTGTGAAGCCTCACATTCAGTGTGATTCAAGACAACATGCCACCGGAGTTGTAAGCAATGATAAAGGGCCCACCAATATCCCCATCAGGTATACATCTTGCCCCTTTGAGAGTTCCCCGCACAATTAAAGACTCCAATTCACCTCCTAGGAAACTATAACAAAAACGAAAACGAAAACAAACAAGCTAATCCCTCGCAACATCAGCCAACTCCTCAACCAACCTTTCCATATAGAACCTTCTGGCCGTCTCGGGAAGCCCCTCAAATTCCCTTGCAATCCTTCCGACTAACCCTCTGCCCTTTTCATATGCCGCCAAGTCTCTGTTCCCATACACATCTTTCCCAACGCCATACCCGCTCTTCAAGCCCCTAAAGAACACATTGATAGCTACGCATGGCTCCAGCGGTAGCGCTGCATGGGGCCATAACTCTGGGAGGTATAGCACGTCACCAGGTTGTAGCACTGCTTCCTGAGGGTAGGTATCATCTATATCACCCTCGGTGAAAGGGTTGATAGTGGAGGAAGATGCCCCTGGAGGAAAGGAGAGACGCGTTATATCTGTAGGTGGATAGACACGAAATCTCTTCGTCCCACGAATGTGACAGAGAACGTTGGCCATGACATCGAAGTGAAGCCACATACCCACTTCCTTGCTTGAGATACGGAACGGTGAGCTGTGTTCATTGGCTTTGACAAAATCAAGCTCTGAAGGTATTGAGAAGTCGGCAGCTATCTCCGGGAAGTCTTTGGATATGTTTGCGGGTTCCGATGTTGGGTTGGCGGCAGAGAGGGACCGAAGGTAGAGATATTCGTGGGCATTGGGATCGAAAGCAATATCTATGAATTCTTCAAATGGCATGGTTTTGTAACTGAAGTTTTTGGATTGGAAAGACATGAATTGGGATTGAGCGGAGTGCACGATGACCTAGTATGTGTGAGTAGAATTCTTAAGAGAATTAAAACCTTCACTAACCTTGCGTTCGTTTCCAAGTTTCTCCTTAAGATACGCAGGGCACCAGTTCTTGACACATTCTCCAATGTTCAATCCTTCCATAATCACTGGCTCTCCCGCTTCTCTAATCCTCCCAAAATCTTCAGCTGTTTTAACTTTCATTCTTTTTATGTCCATCGCCTGCGAGGTCTTGGGCCTAGGTGTTATAATACCCCTCTCCTCAAAGGGAAAGGTCTGTCTCCGTTTCTTCTTTTCCAGTAGTTCACCTTCTTCCAGGATCTTCCAATCGCTTTCTACTTCTCCGTCTTTGAATGCGTGTAGAGTCCACATTCCCTCATTGAAGCACCCACCGAAACTGAAGCAGACGCCTCCACCACCGATGACGCAAACCTTGTCTTTACCAGCAAGCACAACATCATGGCCGATCAACAGCGGTAGCCTGCCATCTTCATGGTTGTATTCAACGTCAATGGCCCTAACTGTAACCTTCTCACAGTGAATCTCGACCATCTCATCCTCGCTTTTTATTAGTGCACCTCCGGACACACCTCCGATAACCAGAACCCTCCCAGCACCCAAGTACACAGCACGTGCTCCAAACCGCCTCAGCAAGCTCCTTGTCGAAAGTAGGTTGACAAAACTCCACGATACCACAAGCGTATACGTATCACTACATTTGGTAATCTCCAGTCTCCACATGTCACCCAGAACCTGTCCTTTGGAATCCATTCCTCCGCTCAATATCCCATATGATTTGTCGGTCCAGCAAAGCACAGCCCCAAATCTGGGAGAAGGCTTTCTGTCTGCCTCAACTTTGGCCCTCTTCCATCCATCGCATTCACTCCAGATCAACCACTCGTCTATAATTTCGCTGTCCCGCTTACCGCCACAGATAAGCACTTTACCGTTACCAATTGCAGTGGCAGAGTGTCTGAATCTTCCACTTGGTAGGCTCTGTACCTTTTTCCACGATCCTGCTTCAAGCAACCATACGTCGCTTAGTGCTTGACCTGGTGATGTCCTCCCTCCGACCAGCAATAGCTTCCCAGGAGCAACCTGGGTTAAAGTATGGCACATGCGTGCGCCAGGTCCCGGGCTTGCGCTGAGTGAGCATTTATGGTTCTTCTCGTGCTCCTCCGCAATAAGCAAAGACGATCCTATCCTGGTCTTTGTCCCAAGCCCTCCATGGTAAACCAGCTTGCCTCCTTCCCACTCTGCAGCCGCACCAAACCACCGTTTCAATAACGGAGACCCAGTATATTCCGCATCAAGCCCTTCCTCAACCCGCGATTCTTCCGAGCTTTGGGAGCGCATGTATTGGGGCCTATGGTCAGGGAAATAGCAATATTCCCCCCCTATCCATCTCATTCCTTCTTTTCTAAATGGGCCGTATGGGTTCTCCCCTGTCCAGGCGTAGAGAATGAAGTAATGCTGGCAAAATAGGAAAAACTCTTCCCACTCGTCGAATGGCTCTATTGATTCTAGATACTTTCTTTCCTCCTCCGTGACCATGCTGCTCCAGAATGCAAGGAGGTCGACTGCATCGACTGAACCCCATCCACGATCTGAATATCTAGCTACTTGGTTTGCAAGGGTTGGATATGAAAGAATCGATTTGAGAGGCGTGGACAGAGAGTTGAAGTGCCTCTGCATAGTGCGTGCAAATGGGTGGGTATCTCCAGAGGGAAGAAATTGCTCCAGTATGGAGAAGCGTGCTGTAAATGATATAAGTAACCACAAATCTACGAGACTCCACGCGCATAAATTCTGGGGAAGTAGAGTTACCATCTGGAAGGGTAGCAATCCAAGCTGCGAGTGCATCCACGGCTTCTCTGTCCATATAGGCTAAAGAAACCTCTGCAGTGAAGAAAAGTGCACTCTTGGTGATTCCCTGACCGTCAAAGATGGCTTGAAGTGTCTTCAAATCTCGGAGGTCACAGCCAATAGCGAGATATTCTGGGCTGGAGTAGTGCACATGGTTCACTGGTGGGTCATGGACCTTGGGTTCTGTAAGGAGGGCTACCAGCTGTGGAGTTTCGCAAATTGTTTGCACTTTCTTCTCAATCAGGTCTGGGTAGTCGATATCGATGTATAGGATATCGCCACAGACATTCTTTGCTTCCGAAATACACTGGAAAGGCAACGGGTCACTGTCAGTTGTAAAGAAGGTTAGTGTATTGGGCGACGAAGCAGTTCAATACTGATAAAATGAGGGAAATAAAACTTACTATCCACATCCTAGGTTTATAACGACCTTCTTTGTTCTGGAGTCAAAAAGTTCCTCGGAAAGGAAAGAATGCACCACATATTCCACAGCACGCATACGTAACCAGTAACCCCTATTTATTAGAGGGGATCTCCTCTGCGGCTTTTTGACAAAATGACGCAGAAATTGGTGTTCATCCGGCTTTGAGTAAAGTCTCTCGACACTTCTTTTGCTGACGATGGAACTGTTGTTTGTCTATCTCATGGTGTTCAGTAACAGAAATCATTGTGGTACGAAAGCAGAGGTTGATTCTGACTCTAGGGGGTGAAGTGGGGAAATTATAAACTGGAAATGGAAGGGAAAAAATGTTCATACACCCATAATTGCACCGTCCCTCTTCTCCTTCTCTGATTTTGGGCCATCTTTCTTCTTCGTAGGAGGCTCCATGTCGACTACTGATGGGGATGCGAAAGGTTCGTTGTGTAGAGGAGCTTGTAGTAGTTATAAATCGACATTTTCAACGGTATCGTAACTTTTGGTCTGTGTTTAAGTTCTTGTGCGGGCGGTGGCTTCGCTGAGGGGTCCCATGCATGGGCGGCTGCCGGGACTTTCCCTGAGGTGGCTAGCCTCACCGGTCAGCCTCCTTGCACACTTATTCAGGGCCCAGATGCCAGATGCTTCGATCCTTATCTTCACCTCCATGGCCATCGCTGACCAATTCTGTACCTACGCTACATACCTCGAGTACCCGATCCATGCACGTCTACAACAACTACAGCTAATTGTCTCGTCTTCTCGGCATGGGCCTTCTGTCAAGAGGTAGGCAGTATGGTAGAGTACCTACATGTAGAGTAGAAGTAGAGCCCATCCACTCTCTGTGCTCGGATATACACTACTAAGTCTGTACCTTATCCCAAAAAATCTCTAAAAACTGTGCATATGCCACAAAACTCTGTAGTTCCCGTCCTAACTGCATAGACGTACCCGAGCCGAGCAACGTCTAACTTTCCGGCTCAGATCACAAGGCCTTAACTCCCGGCAGATGAAACCTGAAGTGTCAACGGCTTTCTAGTGGCTGCTGTGAAGTAAAGGCAATGGAAGTTACCGGATCATATCTGGAGACGAAAGCGCCCCAGAAGATCGTTCGTAGGCGTTCTTTAGAGTACTCTATATGTAGGTACCGGTACGCTAAATGACAAGAGACACGTACCCTACTCTAGCGGAAGTCGCAATTACTGTCGTAAAGACCTGACGTTTTATGTAAAAACGGAGTGCTATTGCATACCATACAAAAAAACGCGCCAAGTGCAGTAGAAGGGGGTTACTGCATGTTGCCATGTTTTTCTCAAGATCCTCCGACATCTAGACTCCATGGGCCGAGATATGTGTAGGGTACTCTTTTTTAACCTTGAATGATTCCAGTAAAAAGGCTATCTTCACATGCTATGGGATGACTGTGTAAATACGCATTACAATTTTACCAGAGTACAAAACCCAGCTAGAATTGAAGAGTCTCTACTGGATTACTGAGCTACTACCGTAGCAGTCCCTCTATTGTACCACATGTAGCTCCAACTAGGGCGCCTAGTCTGCATTCCACTACATGTAGTTACAGGCTCTAGGTGTGTTGTAATTTGTATTTCGAGTGGACGCTAGATTCCAGTGATTTGTGTTCAATAGAACAAATCTGAACCCAGCAGGTATCGTGGTTTTCAAATAGACAAAGTCAATAAGACCAACGTCTGGATGGTAACGAGGAGTCGGGCTTGTGCAGATCATTGCCCGGACGCCTTTCCTCTTCGAGTTAGATCTACATAGAATACACTGTCAGCCTCCCCTCCATGCGAGACACCCATCATCACCTCCAACTTCCTACCACCATCCCTCATTACCGCACCGATCGACATCACCAACAGTTCAAATAAAACACATCCCAGCTGTTATCAATCCTTTAAAGATTCTTATTCCCCTGTGGACGCACATATTTGGGCTACTATCACTACACTGTAATAGCACTGGCTTCTTCGGTTCCTAATACCATGAACTTCGTCACTTTCAACCAAGACTTCTCATGTCTTGCTGTTGGTACTCGAACTGGATACCGGATATACAACTGTGAGCCGTTTGGTAAAGTCTATGAGCAAAAGGAAGGTGACATCTCTATTATAGAGATGCTTTTCGCCACCTCTTTGGTAGCTCTTATCTTGTCGCCTCGCCGGCTGGTCATCACCAATACCAAGGTTGGTTCTGGGGTTTCTCTTCACAACTCCTAGTTTCTACCAATACATATCTGACACGCTCCCAGAGGCAATCGACCATCTGCGAACTGACGTTCCCGACTTCCATATTAGCCGTCAAACTGAACCGGAAGCGTTTGATTGTGGTTCTTGAGGAGCAGATTTATGTCTATGACATCAGTAATATGAAGCTTCTACACACCATAGAGACTTCGTCTAATCCCAATGGTAGGACTAGTATCCTGTTTTTTTTTGAAGCTTTGTCACTAATACGTTGTGTTCCCTATTAGCTATCTGTGCGCTCTCGCCCTCATCTGATAGGTGCTATATCGCCTACCCCCGCCCCACCTCCACTTCAACACCATTCGCACCACCTTCCCATGCTCCCACAAATTCTAATGCAGCTCCTCCACCCTCTGGGGATGTTCTTCTTTTTGATGCCCTCAAACTCGAAGCTGTGAACGTGATCGAAGCTCACAAATCCCCACTCTCTGCCGTAGCTCTTAATAGTGAAGGTACGCTGTTAGCTACTGCCTCCGATAAAGGCACTATTATCCGAGTATTCGCGGTTCCTGCAGCACAGAAAGTATTCCAATTCCGACGTGGAACATATCCATCGCGGATCTACTCCATGTCATTCAATCTTATGTCTACACTACTCTGTGTTTCATCGGCGACAGAAACAGTTCACATATTCCGTCTTGGGGGTATGATTTCTGAAAATGCATCCTCAAGTCATAGCATTGACTCTGGAGGAGGTATCTCGCCAACAGGCTCAGTAGGCTCTTCTCCTTCAAACCATGCAGGGGCTGCTGGAGCTGGTTTTGAACATTATATGGAGTCAAGACGCCGGAACGGGTCAGGAACATTTGGATCAATGATCCGAAGGTCGTCACAGCACATTGGTCGCACGATTGCCGGTGCAGCGGGCGGCTACCTGCCACATGCTGTGACGGAGATGTGGGAGCCAAGCCGAGATTTTGCGTTTGTGAAGTTACCAAATGCTGGTGTGAGAAGTGTCGTGGCTTTGAGCAGCACTAGTCCGCAGATTATGGTCGTCACTAGTGATGGATATTTTTATGTTTATAACGTAGACATGGAGAAAGGTGGAGAGTGTGTATTGACAAAGCAATACTCGTATGTTTCCCGTATTTAAGATCTTTGGGTTGGCTTTACAGGTGCGTAGGGACTGACCTTTGTTATGGGACACTATAGGTTGTTAGATTCCAGTGAAAAGATGGGTCAGAGCCTTATGTATGAATGAGACTGTCTAGTCAATATTCGTACACACATAACTCTATGGCCAGCTTTATGAAGGTTAAACTTGGTGATATGTGGAAGCTCTTTCTTTTCGGTCTGTTGCTGCCTCTGTTGATTTTATTTTCTTTTTTTGTGTAATACTTTGACAGGCGTTGGTATTTTATCTATATTTACGTTTTAAGTACGTTTCTTCTTCCCCCCCCCCCCCCCCCCTTTCACTATTTTATTGTTCTTTTTTCTGCTTCTTGCTTCTTCTTTCTTCTTTCTTCTTGTTCCTTTTTTTTTTTTTGCCATTTCATCGGCATTGGAACCAAGGGGGGGGGGGGGGGTAGTTTCTGGATATATATAAGTGTGGGCGAACTGTTGGCGGTGCTGGTGCGTATCAAACTGCATAAATCTAGGAGGAGTCAAGCATGGGAATGATTTTAAATCCCCCTATATGAGCTACAAGATATATATGTAGTTGCTGTGGTGGTAACTGACTTATATACTACTATCAATTCAAGATTGCTTTTTTATTTACTTTAAATATCACTTTGGGACTGGTAGGGTTTCGATTGGGAGTGTTCATCACCTGTGGATCCCATGCACTCGTGCCGAAGTCACTGTTAACAAGGAAACATAATATACAGATCATGGCTCGTAGGATCGAGTGAGTAGCAGGGGGGCGGGATCGGGATCGGGAAGGAATAAGATTAGATAAAGAGTCAGTTTTCGATTATAATGCGCTGATATGATGTATAACTTATAAGAATGAGTGGGGGAGGAACCAACGGCCCTGGTACTACAATACATGTATGCACCGCTGGTGCCAGGATACATAGCCTCTACAGAAGCCCCAGGCAGGTGTGTAGCGTATGAGGTAATTTATTGGAAAAAGCTCCACGAGCTACATGTATTTACTCTACTTGTTGGCGTACATGATCTAAGTATTCTGGGTGGCTATAATATTCTCCCCCATGTTGCAACACACATCGATAATCCACACGTAAACTTCTACTAAAATTTTCTTCTCTATAGGTCTGTTTGTGAGACGTTGCTGATGGGCCTGATTGATTGATTAATTGATAATTTTGCTGACGGGTCTGTTGCTTAACGCAAGCTCTAAATTACACTTCCTCTAGGCCTGGCGTTCGAAAATCTCGGATAGTGTGGTTCGTATCTACATGTAGCTAAATGTTTTATCATATTACCTCTATCCTTCTACTATCTATCGGTCTCGTCTTTAATTTTTGAACTATTTTTCGTAGGCACAGGGTATGTGATATTTTGTTGCATGAGTGGCGACTATACGATATATAGAGGGGCCTTTATCTATAGACCCGGCCGTGTAACTCTCGGCATACCGAAACATCCATCCATCTATTGCTGGTACTACATGTAGTTATAGTGACCAGTGACGAACACATATGACACCCCCTAGACGTCGACTCAGAGGCCATCTAGAATTCGCATCAACTAGGATCCTTGAAATCGAGTGATAATCTATGAACTATTGAATTTAAAACAATAAAATACGGTTATACTCGATCGCGCGTTAATTAAGTCCTGAGGCATTTTGTGAGGACGTTGCTACCAATAATTCTCAGGACTTAATTAATGGGTGAGTAGAGTACATGTCCAATTAAAGCTAACCTGACCGATTGATATAAGGTATCTCTGAGCGGGACTTTATCTCCTAGCTTCCTAATTATATCTTTTCCGTTAACTGCGTCTACTGAGCTGAGCGCGCTGTAAAGAATATAGTAACAGCTACTGGTATACTCGCGAACAGCTGCATATTGCAATGCCCTACTAGAGGCTAATTATAAGGTAATGATCATAGGCGATGGAGAGTGGCCACGTGGGCTTGTGCTGCGTGGGATGGAACGGGAGTTTCTCGCGGGTGAAGTATTGGAAGAAGCTAGTAGTAGAGCTCTTGCATAGAATATTCCAAAGCTCGTGGACGGGGTTCGGGTTTGGGGTCTGGGGCTTGGATACAATACGTTGCTACAGATCAAGGCTTCGGTTCTGGCTCTGGCTCTAGTGGCTCTTTGGGTGGACGTTGGAGAGCTAGAGGGGTTCTTGGAAAATGGAAATAGCGCAGTAGAGCGTACGTATAAAGGCCTTGGGTGCGCAAAAACCAGTTATTCTGGTGTCTATTCGGCCCATGGGGCTATTTATGGTTTGATATTGCTTTTGGTGGTGTGGCCGGCGCAGTAGGTAGGCCGAGCCTTGGGGTATTCTGAGATCTAAAAGCTGCACCTGAATTGCAAATCGGCGATGAAGGCAGAGAGATATGTAGTTGGAAAGCCAGATGAATTGAGTACTAATTCAAGACTTGATGGTATAAGTACTCCTAGCAAGATGGGTGAGAACGGCGATCAAGCGGCAAGAAGTGCAACCAAAGTCCACGGACGAGACGAGACAATTAATATAGACCTATCAAGGCCTAGGTAGATAAAAGGAAGAAAATTTACACTCCGTTCTGAAACACCCCAATATCATGATATCCAGCCGAATATCGTGATATTGAGAAAATATCCGATATTGTGGTAGTGTTCTAGCAACCACTTTCGGTGCCAGTTCACAACAGTTGAAAGCCCAAACATCACGATCTACAAAATTTGGATCAGACCCAAATTTTTGTTGCAACCATTGTACCCAACATAACAAGTGTCCCATCACCCTGTGCCGAACATTACACAATATTCTGGAAATCACTAGATTTTAATTATAACATATTCCGTTGTAATCTTACCATCATACATCATTGTGATTTCCAAACAGCATGTTTGCCGAACGGGCCCTAAATATTCGAACCGACACCACTAGAAACGGCTCAACCCACCAAGTACACCCGTAACGCCCCAGCTTGTGGTCGCAGCCAAACATGCCAATTGTAACCACGATATTCGCAAATATACTAGATCACATATTTGGTTGTAATCTTGCTAGGTTGCAACCTCGCCATATTTATATAACAGTTTTGCAGAACGGAGTGTTATAGAGAAGAGAAAACAAAAAGCTGTTCCTAGCCTTTTTGGGGGGGAATCCGGGTGGCGGTTGGCGACATACAAATAGTATTACAATCATGAGATATCACTCGACATTCGATTTACCAACCACCTCCACAAACCCAAACCCTACCAGATAATAATCTTCCGAACCCACATTAGCTGATTCACGCTTTTGTGGCTGAAGATATTTGGCCATAACACATACAGCACAGGGATGGCTTCGTGCTGGGATATTCCTATATGCTCCATGCGTTTAAGATGGGGTCACTCTATTGGAACTCATTTATATTTACTGATACTAATTGAACGTGTCTGTAAAACGGGGGCCGTGAAGTCATAACCAACTACACTATAAATATGATAGGAAATCAATACTTAAAAGGGAGGCCATGAAGTTCCCACTAGGTTTTTTGTCCCGCAGAGACGAACCCTATATAATTACATATAGATTTGGTAGTGGGTAGGGGGTGTATTTAAATTATTATACGTCTAGAGAGCTCCACTGTGAGAGTAATCGTGTCAGGAGAAGAGTCTTGCTATATAACGTATATAGCACTACATGTAGAACGTCCCTGTGGTTTACGAACCGCCGCCGCGCCAGAGTGGTTCAACTATATGTGGCTTAGTCAAATGCTATATATATGGTTTAACTAAATTGCACCCACCGTTGTTTAGCTTAAGCCACGGGGATATGTATGTACCACAGGGGGGAAGGCACAAGGTGACGCCTCCCACGTGTCTTCTAGGAAAGTATCCCGTTGATACCTTTACCACCGGTCTATGATGACCACACCAATGTCTTCCCACTCCACGATACATCCTTTCCAGTAACGACTAACTCCCGACGTCCCCACACATTTGAGTTCTTTCCAACGCCTATGACGCCTTTCACGACGAAACCCTCAGGAAAAACTAGGCGGGATGATTTCTATCCTTGATCCCTTTCCTACCACTGTAGAGTGGGGTTTCTGCCATGTCTTGCCTAGACACATGTTCCTGTGCGCTCTAGACGGCTGTTCTTGATACATATGAAGAGAAAAGTCAACTGGTTTTCCGTTTGACTCTGCTCTCAAAGCTAAGGATGTATGTTGACTATATACCATGCGGGTGTATTTACTAGAGGGTTCCCTTTCTCACCCAGATCGAACCGGGAGTGGCCAATCGTTCAAGATAGCAATGCGACAAAAAAAAAAAAAAAAAAAAGAGAAAAAGTGAAATGAGGACAGGTAGTCGTTGATTAGAGAAAGCTACGAATCCAGAGGTTGGGCCATTCTTCTCTCACTACTCACTACTGAGTGCACCTTAATGGGACCCTCAGGGCGGGCGCACAGCTGGAAGCCAAACCCGAGAGCCGGTTCATGATCGACACTACACTCACACTGCTACCATTCTCTTATATCTTGCCAAGCCTTCATTGACTTTTCGAAACCTTCTTCTCACAAAACCACTAAAGGCATATCAATGATCGTACTTCACCAGGCATCACTCGCCCACTACCTCCCTCTAAAGGGGAAACGATCATCGCCCCGCATCGTCAGGATTCGAGAGCACCTTCCCTCTTCAACCCTAGCCCCCCTAGTTACATACCCAGCGGCCCCCAGCTTGATCAGTAAGCAATTTGCAACGCCAAAGAAAAAAAGCACCCACGGGCAAAGCCCTGGACTCACCAAAAAAACAGGACATGGATAACTCCAGCCGAGGGGCACTAGCCGATATCTAGATCTCCATGCAGGTGATGTTTCCAGGAGTTTGGGCCGCCCCGAGCGCTCGAAGGTTTTGCCGTGACAGGAACCTGTTGCTGCATAGGTTAAAGGAACCCCTGCAGCCAGAGTAGCAACAGAACCTATCCTACCCTAAATACTTGACCTAAGTACCTACCTACCTTGGTCAAAGGAAAGAAAAAAAGGGTAACGTTTCGGAAACATCTGTTTCACGGGGGTGGGTATTATTGAGGTTTGTAGTAGGTGTTGTAAGGTAGTAGATATGTAGGTGGTATGCAGTAGGTACTCTATTCCAGAATTCCTTTCTCGGCGGACCTCATCTGCTTATTGTTCTCCTTATTATTGTTATTTCACCCGAAACTTGGTCCCCCCCCCATCCTCATTCTCCTCCGCCGCCCCCCGAGGTTGTTACATGTATCGATCGATTGCTACCCGCATCGAGATATCACTGGGAGGAGAGCTGTGTCAGATTTTCCGACCAGTGTTTTGGATCACGGGTGTCTGCATGCGAACAATTAAATTATTCTGCAGTGAGTGATCAGTGAGCGAGAGGAATGCCGACGGGATGGAAACTACATAAAATATGTCGTGCAACACAGAACCGCTGCAGAGAAAAACAAGATAGCTGGGTAAAAACCAGGTGGTAATGCAAAAAAACAAATAGATATAAAGGAAAAATTCCCTCAGAAGAAGAGGCTTCCCAAGCCATGACTGTTACCTAGCCGTCCTCCATAGTCGCCCGTTGTTAATACCTTTGGATCGTTGAATTCTGCTCGGCAGGTGCAATTGGCACCAGGATAGTAAATATATTCGAGTGAAAAAGCCATTAAACAAATTTAGTCTAGACAATATGCCCACATGTACCGTTTTTCCTCGCTCAAAAATCAGATATGAAAGAAGAAAAACCCTCCCAAAGAAGTAAAAGACAAAGGAAAGTAAACTTTATTTTTAATAACCAAAATAAAAATAAAAAAGAACAAGGCATCGACTGAAGAAAATAATGATTGAAACATCAAAGACCCATGAAGACGTCATTTATCAAGCGCCACCGCAAACCCACAAATTGATGCAGAAATACCAAGAATGAAAAACAAATAAGGAAATAAAAAAAGCAAGTAGAGTACCTGGACCCACGGAACCACTTTCCTAATAAACAAAAGCCCTCCCGATTATGCCTCCCAGAGAAGAATTGAAGGAGGATATGATACAATTTTTGAATTGACGTTCCACAACCCCACGCTTTGAGTGTGCTTCTAGCTAGCGTACCTGGAGTTGAAGAGACTCTAGTCACATATAATGGCCATGATGACGATCAACCTGTTGCGGGGGTGCCGAAACATAATGCGGATGGTACGGATGCGAGTCCGACGAAAAGTGCGTCGCAGAAATCAACGGATTCACCAAGTGCGGTAACTTCCTTGGGGGTGGGGCTTGCTGCTGCTGTTGCTGCTGTTGCTGTTGCCGCTGGTACTGGTTATACTGCGCAGACGGGGGAGGATTTTGATGGAGCATAGCCGATTGCAGCAGAGACGTTGGCTGTGGTGGAGGATCAGGGGCTTCCCAGCCCCACTTGATCTTCAGTTCTTTGTACACGAAACCAACCCTCCATCCCGTCTCTTTTGTAATTTTCTGGAAGATCACAAGGATTTCTTCCTGCTCCCGACGAACTGTGAGGCACTCTGCGGCAATGGCCAATGATCGCAGGGCAACACTTGCAACACCTCGGTCCTTCACGTGCGCTGCAATGCCGCAGATCTGGTGAGAGTGCGACATCACGGTGTCATGCATTTCCTCAGACATCCTGGGCATCCACGGGTTGAGCTGGGCTAATAAAACCATAGCCGTGTGGTAGAAGAGACGTGCTACTATGGCTGATCTCTTGATGAGCCAGACCTCTGGGAAGGCGGACTTTGCGGAGGTCTGGTAAGAGTGAAGATACGCCAGTGGGTGCATATTGCGCGGGCAACGTTCATTCCAAGCATCGCACAAGTCTCTCAGGCGCTTCCACTCTTGATATCGCTTTTGCGTCGTCTCACCAAGATACATATCCGAGTAATTGACCTCCTGTTGGTTCGCAGTATTGGCAGCAGCCCTGAAGTTTGCAATCTTGGCCAGAATGTAGGTGATTCTATACGCCCATATTTCTTCCTTTCCAGGCTCGGAATCCCGGCTGAAATCCATATCAACACCCCATTCATCAGGCTCCCATGCGACTGCCCAGTTGAAGTGTAAGCAACTGAGTAACTCCATAGACACATTCAGCCAAAAACAAGCACCACCAATGCCCTTTGTCCTAGCATTCCATCCACATTCTTTCAATAGAGCACGTGCTCCTGCAATGTGGTTCATTCTTTGAGTGGCTCTTTCAGACATGATCTCATAAACATTAAGGATGACCGCTGTTGTTGCGCACATTTCTGTATCGCGGTTGGGATTCTGTAGGGAATTAAGAAGAAGGCGGGTAGCCGTATCGTAATAATTAAGTGCCTTGTCTTCGTGGTACGCAGGATTGACCAATGTGAGATGACGAGCTCCACATGCTAGGAAAGCGTTAAGAAGCATGGGTTCACTGAGTGATGAAAATGGTAAAAGGCGGGAAAACTGATTCCGGATATCAGCAAAAAAAAAAAAAAAAAAAAAAAACACTCAGGTCATTGGAGTTTTACATGTTTATGTGGATCAAGACTGTCCATCCATATGCCCACTTCTTCTACGAATACCTGCATGAATAACGTCTCTTCCTTATCGTTCAAATGACTCCGAGCCTCCTTCTGTGGTGGCGGTGGACTCAGATTGTGTTCTGAACTCATCGTTGCGGATGATGGCGGCGGCGGCGGTGGTGGGGGCGGTGGTGGGGGTGGCGCATAATTATTTGGATTATATGATTGCCGGTGAGCATGATTATTTACCTCTTCACGATTGTTGTTACTTTCCCCCATATGCATTGGAGTAGGCAACAATGGCAGAATCGGAGGTAAAGTATTATGCACTGCGGATGGAGCAGAGCTGATCTTTGCCGTAGACCGCGGTGTGGGCGGTGAATTCCTAGTAGTCTTTGGGGCAGGAGCATGAGAAACAGCAGCATATCGAGAAATACCACCAGCATACTCCGACGCAATATCTCTGGACTCATCTTGGAAATGGACTAAAAAAAACCTCCGGGTCAGTCACAACTCACGAACTGTCAATGAAAAGAATCATCTCTTACCCTTCCACTCGTGTGAGATGGGCACTACCGGGGGTTGCTCAGTTTGAATATCGATGAAATTGAGCCGCACACCACGCTTGCATATCCGACTTGACTTTCGGCAATTCTATAGTAATTACATCAGTGATAATCCTATCATCATATCGGAATAATTTACTTACCTGACAGTCTGGAGTTGCTTCATCACCTATGAAGATGGAAAATAAATATTAGTAACCAACTAAAGGAAGACTAAATAAAGGGGGGGTCTCAAACATTTCAGATGACGTTCTCTATTTTTTGTATTATTTGTTAGCTATATACATGTATCATCCTACTAAAAGGAAAATTGCGTAAAATTGTAAAGCAATGGATTTAGAGAAATACGGACCTGCAAGTGAGGCTAAATGCGCGTAATAAAAACGTCTCATCAGTAAGAAGATCTTCCAAGGTGAATATTTGTTTTAAAAATCAGTAGGATTCAAGATTGCAGATCATACCATCCTGTACGTAAAACAATGATCGGTTAGTTAGTTCGTTGTTGAAAGTAGTCGGTAGGGCAACAATCTTCAACGAAGGGCAAAAAAAAAAAAAAAAAAAAAAAAAGAAGGAAACATTAGGATAGATGGGATGAGGTAAATTACCTGTCCGCACACGCTTCGGCCGATTGACCACCGCCGTCTCATCTGCAGCCATCAATCCTGCCTCTCTCTTCACACCTGCTACCGCCGCACCACGGCCGAGTTGCCTTTGACGATTCGTCTTCTTTGTGCTTAGTCGGCGCGAGGATGAATCGGCGCCGAATGCAAGAAGTCCTGGTTGAGAAAGCGTAGCGACCGACGTGATGGCGGTTTTTTTTTTCTTTCTTTATTGCGAGAGTAGCTGGGCCGGAGGAGCGTAACCAGCTGGGGAAAAAGAAGAGAATCGATGAGTGGTTTTGCTTTCTTTCTAGGGGTGAATGGGGGAGTCGACTGGGACTCTCCTGCTTGCAAAGGGCACAGAGCTCGCGTGTGTATGTACGTATGGGTATGTATGTATGGTAGTTATGCAAGGGAGAGAGATGTTGCTTTGCTTTGCCCACACGCGATCAGTAGTGTCGTCCTTGCTTCTGCTCGATCTTCGGCTTTATCTAGACCAGAAGTATGATTGATACCCGCCGCCGCGAAGACAAGAGAAGAGATATGGGGAAATATGAATATGATACTGTCGAACCCGTTCAATAACGTGGCGTCATACGGCCGTGTCCTGGTTTCTTTTCCTTGGTCCTTGGAATTTTGTCAAATCTGTGGAATGTCAAGTTCTTAATCCAACACACACCCACACACAATCTTTCCTCGTACGCAGTTCTCTCCGTTTTCTCTCTCTATGCTGGTACTCGGGCCGCTGTCACTTCCAATTATAACACAAGCACAGACCCTTGGGTCTCGACTCAGAGACAACTGAAGATATTCCTTTCTGGGAAAGACAATGAGCGAGCTTGGAGCTGGAAATGGATTGAGCTTTTTTTTTTTTTCTTTGGCAAAATGACGGATGATAAGTAGTTGGGGGATTTTTCTGATTTTGCTTTGTAGGTTGGGGGTTGGAGGTTGTATATGTATTGTATGTACGGTATGCAGTATCAAAAATGGTTGAACTGTTTTGTCTAGCCTCGGAGGTTTTCTTGGGATGCTAGTGAGGGTGTTATCTAGGTAGAATTTTACACTGCGGAAGCGAACATGGACTTGCAAGGAAAAGCCAAAAGTTGCCGGGAAGAATGGTCCAGAAGTATTGGTCCAGTGAGTGCAAGTTCTCCAACAGAAGCGAAAGAGCAGCTGAGAAAATGAAATCCCAGGTAGGGTGGGAGGGGTGGAGGCAGGAGGAGTATGGAGTATGTATGTAGGAGGTGGATATCCTAGGTAGATATGGGGTTCCAGTTGAGTGACAGAATCCACCGGGACGTTCTGTCTAGCTTGCTGCTACTTACTACATACCCCTACCTCCCCCCCTCCCCCATGGCCATCCCATCCCATCCCTCTCTTCTACTCGTAGGGGTACCTCCTTGCAAACTCACCAAGGAAGGATGATTCTTTTAGAAGAGACGAGAGTTGTGCCGTGCTTGGGCATTACGCTTTTGTCTTTCTTTCTTTTCTTTTCCTCAATGGTGGTGGTGGTGGTCATAGACTCTCAAGAGCCTAACGTCTTTGTGACCCCAGGTTTCGAACAATTATAAAAGTTATGAAAAATAAGAACTCTTGGAAATCAAACGTTGTTTGGCAAAGTCATGTAACAGCTAGGTACTACAAGCCTCTCCCTAAAACGCAATATTCTAGATTGAGGGGGTCGCGCGTCTATGCAGAGAACAATTCTCTAACGAAAGCCTTGTTCCTCTAAGCGCTTTCGATCTCCACTACTAGACTGGATGATCCCGAATTGCAAAAAAGAATTGCTGACCGTAAAAGCAAATAATCGCTATTACCAGGAGTCCAATGGCATGTCTGCTGCTGCTCCAACTTAGTAGGGTATTGACTAGAGTAGAGTAGTGCTGCGAGGGTTCGACTCGCGGTGGTGACAGCTGTACTTACCCGAAGAACTACTTTGCTGTAGTAGAGTAAATACGATGATGTCTCTAAAGTAGAGTGGGTACGTCAAGAGAGCTTATCCCAACCCAACTCATCCCATTAACATTCTTTTTTAGATCTGCGTCCTGAACTCAAGCACAACTTGTTGAATTGATTGCTTGCAAGTGAGGCTTGATGCGGAGAACCGCTATGTCGGGATTAGGAGCAAATGGCTGTGCGAAACATGATTTGTCTGTGCTCCCCATGCCGTGACGGGTGTGGGGGGGATGAATGGACGTGAGGCGGTGCCTAGATGGCTGCCAGATTAGATGGCCCCCAGACCAACCGCGAGAGCAAGTATTGCCGGGTAAGGGTTGGGAGTATGACGGTAGGGTACTAGACTAGGTCCCTCCTGCCTGGGCCTACATCTACCTGCCTGTAAAAACGTCGTATTATGTATGGAGGAAATTTAATACCGAAATAACGTGGACCTCACTAAGATAGAAACATCCGTACTTTATATAAATGACCCTACAGAAAAGGGCTGAATGCAAGTAGGCACCTGCTGATGTAAGGTGGAAGGAACACCGGGCGTTCAACAAACTTAATCAGTTGTCAGTTTTTAATTTTTCTACTCTTGTCCCGTAGAAGCTGACTGGAAGGAGGGATGGAAGGAAGAAGATCTGAGATCATTTGAAGGGAAGAATGGAGGGGGTGCACGGTAAATCGATCCCATCCCGCACCGGTGCCGCTGATGTTATTGCAGGGTTGTTTGAGTTAACGGTCGACAAATGTTTCCCTCTATCAATAGCAATACATACGTAGAGTATGTGCATTCCACATCTAACGGTGAACTTTCTTTATGACCTGTGTTCCTTCCCATCTCATCACGTTTTTTGATGAGCATCTCTTCTAGCTTGGTGCCGACTTTACTGCTGCACAGAGAAGATCTACCGTGGAATGCGGGAGCCTCACGTGTGTCGTTAACCTATCACCACTAATCTTAAGTTTGAAACTCGATGGAGAATCAACCAGACCACAAGCACGCGCTGAATCCTCCACATCCCTCCCTTTTTCTCCTCCAACCCCGGTTTCATCCCATCGCTCAATTGTAATTTTCCACGTCGTTGTAGATGAGATTAGCAGCAACATCACCCCCCAAGCATCGAGGAGCCAGGGGGGGCTTGGATACATAATTCTCCGAAGAACCACGCATGTCTCGGCGGTGCTGGTGAGGCGCGGACACCCTATTTTCAATGGTGGGTTTCTATTCTCAACTGCAGCAGTAAATTAATGTTTACCATAGCAAAAACTCATTTTCCTTTTTGCCTACATTAACTTACAAGCGCCCTAGTATAACTGCATGAAGTCAAAAGCACATCGAGAGGTCGATGTGTGCGAAGGGTTTTCGAGACCACAGCGCTTCTGGCGGTATAGGTAGGAGGTTGTGCATGAACATGAGCGTTGAGATGGGGGCCCAGCACGGCGACAAACACAAAGGCACTTGTTTGCGCAACAAACATGCTTGTCGCCCGAGGATACGGTTATGGAGCCTGGAAGGATCTGGGTCGATGCGACCCCCACGATTTTCCACTTTGACGTTGATGGATGCGCGCAGTCACCTGACTGGTGACATCTAACTACATCTATTAACCTCTTCAATAGCTTACTTGTGACCAGAATAAAAAAAAAAGGGTCGGTCCCAAGGTTTGCCCTACCAAGGTTGAATGGTAGCAATCGATATTACACCGGCAGGAAATAATAACACTACCAACTTTCGGGAGCTCAAGCTAGCTGCGATAATACGCTATCTTCTATATATATACATACACATTATAGAGAATATCAGCGTGGCTATTATTACGGAACTGTCTCTCACCCCAAGAGCAATGCTTTTTTTCTCTCTCGCCAATATTTCACATGTCTAGGAACTTATTTACCCGTGGGGCCAAAGTGCGAGCCACACAAAGCTTTCCCACTAGGCAGGTAGGCAGGTTTATTGAGATCCGATCTGTCACGTAAAGTAGAGTGCATAGAGTGCCTACCATACAGTAGAGTAGTACATAATTCTAGGTAGTCGTCACGGGCCCGAAACTCCCCTACCATACGTAACGTACCCCCTTCCCTACCCTTGCCCTGGTCTCGGGTTTATAAAGAAGCGAAACAGGCTACTGCGTCGACCCTAACTCGATCCAGCAGTAAACCATTAGTTAAAAGGAGGCAGCAAAAATACCTTTCCAGAGAGCTGCCTAGCTACTACTAGTAGACGAAAGATATATTTATGTTACAGAAAAGGAAGAAGAAAGTCTGATCGCAACCGGAGGAAGGAGATCACGGACTAAAGTACGAGCTGAAAAAAACACGCAATACGAAGCTAGAGTATGTTGGCTCTTTATTAACAATAAATTTCCACTCTAGGCCCGATATGGCACTGATCCGCCCCCCCGGCCCCCTCCCGGGTGAGATGCCATGATCCTAATATAGAGAATGGATCGGACTGAATTAACAATGTTTTAATAACACGAAGGTAAGCCTCCCTTTTAGATATTGCTGTATGTACCTGCAGCTGCTCATGCCTGCCTAGGCTCTGGAGTAGATTGGGACATGTGTAATAGTAATAGTAATAGGGGAAACCTCCCCATGGGGATTGGCCAATAATGCAATTGGGGGATGGGGTTATAGTAGCTAGACCTAGGCCTTCCCGGAAGCTTTTATCTACAACTATATGTATGTCCTTCACGTGCACAGACTCGGCGACTACATGTATTCTATCACTCCATCGTAGGGTTTGGGGGGGGGGGATAAATGAATTAATGTCTGTCCTACGGAGTACATACACTTACAGATAACCCTATATACACAGCTGCAGTACAGTACCTACATGTACATGAGTGGGGTCTCGATAGTAGTATTTGGTGATCGAGAACGACCCTACTATCGAGAATATGCTTCGAATTCATGGAGCGAGAACAAATTTGCCCGTGCGTACTGACTCGCCGATAATATACATGCTACTATCGATAATATGGCTATTATATATATTATCGAGCTAGTATTGTAGTAGAGTAAGCGTAAAAAAAAAAAAATTGTATCCATACCATCCATTACCAAACTCTGTCTGTCTGAATAAACTCTATCCACCACCTCTCCTCTACCGGGGAGGTTATCTCGCACCCCATCCATCCCATCCATTCCCTCCATCTCAGCTCCCGTCCCGGGAAATGATCCAAAGTGCGAATCGCAATATGCATTACAATTGCGCACCTCCCACCCCGGCCCCTCCCCAAACCGGAGAAAGCACCCCTTCCATCCCATCTGCGGCCGGCATAACTCCCGGGAATCAGACGAAAGAAAAGAAGGAAGGGAAAAAAAAATGCCGGCGGCGGGAGCCTCCTCCCCCCGGCCGTGGCGCCCCCCCCTTTCTCGCACGGGTAACTGCCTGCCGATTGACGGGTACAGCGTTTTGGGACTGATGGTGGGAGGGAGGGTGGGCGAGATCGGGAAGGTGCGTTGCATTTGGTAGTGATGGTGGCGGTGATGGGATTAGAGTAGGGAGGGATGAAGAGTGGGAGGGAGGGAGTGATATATTTAGAAACGGCATGTTCCTTTGGAATGGAGGAGTTTTGGGGTTTTGATAGTGAGATCCTCGGCCGACAGAGGCGATGGAATTGCTTACAATATACATGTAGTAACTACAAGACTATACAGGGCAGGCCAGGCTGGAGTAGGGTTGAGCTTGTAACTGACGGGGGAGTCGAGGCAGCAGCATCATCATCATCAACATCATCATCAGAAGGGAGCAAAACAAACCTTCCATCTAGAGTAGTGGTCTAGCTACATGCAACCCCCACCCCCCCTCCTCCGCAAAACGGGCAAAAAAAAGGAAAGAAAGAAACCCAAACTTTTGATAAACCCCCATCTCCATCTATAGCTCCACCGACTTCCCACCTTACTCCTCCCGCTCCGGCCTTCCCGTCCCCTTCCTCAGCAGCCCGACCGCATACAGCAGCCCCTCATTCAGCACCTTCTCGTCGCCCGCGAACCCAACCTTCGCCGTCTCCGCCGCAATGGCCGCCAGTGCCTCGGAGGAGCCTGTGCTGGCCCACTGCTGCGAACCAGAGTGCGTGAATTGCTCGATAGTCGGTCCTTCTACGGTCACCGGGACAACAGAAACCCAGAATGCGGGACCAGCAGGATCGACCGCAAGGTCGAGCGGGTGCCCGGTGAGCGCGATGGTGGTGGTGTGGGCAAGATTGCCAGTGGTCTCGTCGTGCGTGAAGACGAAGATGGCCGATACACTTTTTTGTCCTCCCGTCAGTCACACTGCACGGTTTCTGTGAGCGGGCGTGGGGAAACTTACCTCTCGAACACAACCAGCACCTGCCGCAGCGATGGGACCTCCCAGAGGCCCACGACGGTCACTTTGAACGCCTTGTCGGCCGAGGCCTCGCCCTGGTCTAGTTTCCCGCCCGCAACCTTGCGGCCGACGACGCCCGCGACTAAATCCCCGACGTCGACCCGCTGTAGCGCTTTCCCGGAGCGCCAGTCCCACAGCAGGAGGAAGTCGTCGCCGCCGCCCGACACGAGTGTAGTTGCGTCCCAGGTGGGGATCAGCAGCTTGCTTACGAAGCTCTCGTGTCCGAGACAGAAGCCCTCGATAACGTGGCCCTGCGGGTACCGCGAGACACGGATGTGCTCGTCCCTGTCTGCGGTAAGGACATAGGTGCGCGGCTTGGCGTCTTGTGGGCCTGGAACAGTCACGGAGACGATGTCGATGAGCATGGAGACGTGGCCGAGGAGGAGCGTGTGCGTGAAGGGGAGGTCGAGGGAGATCTCGGTGCGCTTGCGCTTCTCGGCGGCGAGGCGGTCGCGCTCTGCTTTTGCGAGCTGTGCTGCAGTGGGGGCGACGGCGGAGGCGGCGGCGGGAGTGGTGAGGGCAGCGAGCTCTTCGGGCGCCGGGAGAAGTGGGACGGAGTAGACATCGCCGAACTTGTCGGCGAGGAGAATTGTGCTCTCAGAGTCGGCCGTGGCGATTGCGCAGAGGCGCTTGGGCATTGCGCTGGCGGCGGTATATCATCAGCATTACTCTTTCGCTCTCTATCTGCAGTGGGGGGAGGGGGAATAATATCATATATCATATATGTGCATACCGCTCACTCAGAACCTTCAACTCCGCGCCGCCCGCCGCAATCTCAAACACCCGCAGCGTCTTGTCCTCGTTCGTCACGACAACAAGATACTTCCCTCCCTGCACTGCCAGCATCCTCGTGATGCTGTTGCCCGTGCCCTCGCCGTCACCGCGCGGCGCACCCACGCCCAGCATCGATGTCCGCACCCAGGCCGGCTCCTCCTCCGCCGTGTTGACTTTGCGCTTCTTGCTCGGCGAGCTCTCCTTCTTCCCCTCCTCGTCCTTCTTCCACTCCTCCTCTCGTGCCTTCTTCTCCTCCCCCTCCTCTTGCGCCTTCTTCTCCTGCTCCTCCTGCGCACGCTTCTCCTTCGTGGTACGCACCGCGAGCTGCGGCGCGCTCCACGACGTCATCAGGGCGCCGGTGGTGCCGGAGAAGCACTGCAGGGTGCCGCCGAGCGCGACGAGGAGCGTGTTGGTGCTCGAACAGAAGTGGAGGCGTTGCGCGGGGTGTCGCATTGTTAATTGAGTTAGTTGGGGGGTTGTGTGTGCGGTGGTGAGATGTCTGTCGGTGGTGGGGGTGAGTTTGTCGCCGTTGTTGCGGTGGTGTGTTAAAATTTCCCCGAGCCTCACTCAGCCAGCAGCCAAGACTTTGCAGAGGGTCAATGATCGTGGTTGCAGGAATATTGGGGAAGTCGGGTTTTGGACAATTGGGTGAGCGGATGGGATGTGGGGCTTGCTGCATGTTTTTGACGGGCTGGCTGCTGGTTTGTAGATTTTCGGTGGTGTGATTGACCGCAGCTACATGCACATAAGCCATCTATCGTCCGCTCCGAGAAATAGCTCAGAACAAGCAAGCTCCAGAACCCCAGTTTATATATAGCCGCACATTTTTTGCTTTTTCTCTGGTAGCGTAATAAAACCAAACGGCATGTACTCATGGTGAATACTAGATCCAGCGGAAGAGTAGTATTCGTTTCCTCATACGTAAGTATTCAGGCCAGACCATGCATGCAGGTCTCGCCAAAATACGGGGGACATTGAACCTCCGAGTAGTAGGTAGCATACGCGTACGTGCGTGTAAACCCGAGAGTGCCGGGGTCAAGTCTGGAAGAAGATTTTCTCTACTCCCATATATACTATGCCCTGCCCTCACGGTGTAATAATAATCATTGAGGTTTAGTGCTGAGCTTGAGTTGATGTCGTTAATCGCAGCTGGCCGTAGTTTCTGGCTTTTTAGAAGTACCCTCGCCAGCTCAGTGATCAAGATATATGTAATGGTCCCAGACCTGTTTCATCCCCCCTATCAAATACCACGGCGTGGATAGATTCTTCCGATGGCCATCTTGGCGGATGGATGGATGGACAGCTAGGTGTACCTCAATAGTCTAAACAAGCACTCCATAGTACCAGTATCCGAGGAAGTATATAGGTCAGCTTCTTACTCCGCTCTAGAAGTGTAGCCCAATCCATCACTTGCCATGAAAGAGCCAGCCCCCGGCCACTACCCACCCCATTGAGCACGCCGCTGGTGTCGTGGTGAGGAGACCGTTGCTTTTTTTTGACCCGCTCGACCTGTGCGTGGGTGCACTACCAGCTCATAATAAAGTCTAGCAGCTTTGGCCCGGTATTCCAAGGTGTGTAGGCAGACTTTGGCGGCGTAGAGCTGGGGGTCTGTGTTGGGGAGAATCATGGTGAGGTTCCGGGGGTTTGAGGTTGGGTTGGAGTGGCCAGGTAGCATACCAATGACTACAGCTCTACTCATCTGGTCAAGCTAGGGGGACACCGTTTTCCCTTCGGTGCCTTGGGGGTTGGGTAATGGCTGTGATAACGCCAGCGTGGTAGGAGCTTTATGGGAGTGTGGTATCTTGCTCGGCGAAAAACAAGATCGATGTAAAGCCAGGTGACCTACCAACTACGAGTGCATACCCCACAATGAGGGCCGTTGGGAAATAAAGATAATCTGTCATGTTGCAGGTTGATACCGAGTATCTTTTCTGGACTGGAGTGGATGTAGTGCGGACAGGTTTTTGGGTGGTGGAAGGGGTGAGTTTTGACTGCCCATACAACTGAGCGCCCCACGATATAATTATCATACCATAAAGACGTAGAAATATAATCTACATATTCCAGATCCTACCTTGTTTTCGACCTTAAACACCTAACTACGACTCTTTGGGGGAGTTAGTATGGTCCGTGAGCCGAGCCAGCTCGAGCTTTTTGTCCGGCTAGACTCGAGCCGGCTCATGGACCACACTAGGGGGAGTTCTCAAACTACATGTACATGTACTGGTTACCTCGTTTCCCGTGGCTTGCTAGGTGGCTCTTCACAGCTATTTACGGTACCAGCGATATCATGAAGACTGGTGACCAATACCTTCCTTGAGTCTTTCGATACCAAACTTGGGTAGGGGCCGCCGAGTAGATTCGCCGATCATGTAATATCACTCGACTGGTTAATAGGTCGTCCACGAACCTAGAAATTGTGGCCTAGTGATGGTTAGTCTTCTAGTGTCTGCATGGTTTTGTGAAGACTATATGGGAGGCCGTTGCTGGTGGATAGGGGAGGCTGAAGGATTTAGAAGTTTGAAAGGGTGTGGTGCGGAAGAGGAGGAGTAGAAGAAGATTAGTCGGCGCTAGGTGAGAGGCAGAAGAGATAAAGCTAACGATGAAGGGTACCGTGACCCTTGGAACGAGATAAGAGGCCAGGTGTACATGTAGGCGGCAGCCGGTGTGGAATCAGGAACTAAATAAGATTTTACATACCCCGCCTTAGGCTCTTACCCGGCCCTCTTAGGAGGTGGGTACGAGATCTAACTATTGACCCCGCTTAAATTTCTGCTTGAGAACGAGCTCTAAGTTGCTGCGGCGGTCAATTAGCCCTGGTACGAATTAGCTACTCTCTGTGTACTACAATTATGGTAAATATTTTATATCTGGGCTTGCAGCTTGCTTCTCACCATCGATTTAATTTGCCGGCTTAATATGATGTATGGGCACCTGCGCCTCCACGCCCAAATTAAAAGTTGAGCTTTAGACGTCTCAATAACAACATCGCTCTGCAGATAGTAATTCTGACAGCTATCTCTGAAGTTAATTCTCAGAACCTGCCACATTCCTTTAATCCTCCCTTTATAATTAGTCTAGTTTAGCTCAAGATTGAGTGGAACGCGTAAGTTCATGAAGTATCACTCGGCCAGAACGATACTTCCTATCAACGCCGAGCAACTATGAATTTTACGTCGACCCTTCCAAGAAGATTTAGGGGACCTAAGATTGGCGTTGGTTATTATCTCTATGTACTTTCTTGTTTCCCCAACTCCAACTCTGACTCTTCTCCCGGGCCCAACTCCCTCAAAATTCGATTTTCTTCCTCCAGATACCCAACTACCCGAGCTTCTAAACTACCGACTCCATAAACATCCTGAACTCCCTCAACCCCCTAATTCCCACTTTCCTCGTCTAACTTAAGGTTTCTCTCCACCTAGTCTCCCCAATACTTCCAACTCACTCGGCGGTTCTCCCCGCTTCCCCAAACTCCCCCAGACTCCCCAGAACCCCCAATCTATCCCCCATCTACTCTTTCAATACCTCCACTTAAGTACACTTGAGAATAGCGCGCCCGATCGGTTATTAGAGACGACCAAATCTCGAGGCCTAGGCTCAAAATCACCCCATAAGGTGATACAAGGGTATAGACCCACCCCTGTTGAAAACCAAAAGCGTGATGATAAGTCTAACTCTGGATATCCGGGCGCCTGTTGGGGATGAATACAGTACCAGTGGTCTGCTGGTCAACTTTCGCACCTAGAACGAGGTTTGGCAGGGAAAAGGCCTTCGAAGGCGCTCACCGCGTGTGGTTTATTCGGGTATTGGACTCTCTGACACTACTACGGACAAGCTAGTCCCTAAATACAGCCTTGCGATTGAAGCAGGAAAATCTGTGTATTTAGGAAATTTTTGACGCCTTTCCTCGACATCTTTCAATGATGATTTTGCCTGATAGTTTTACCTACTTTGTTGCTTTTTTGTATTCCATTTGAGACAAGGTGCTTGGTTGGGATAGTTTTCGAGACGCTTCATATAATGTATACGACGGTTAATGAGAAGAATCATAACTGGATACCACAATATGTTGTTGCCGAATCATCAAAACACTAGTATCATGTGTAAAGTGTAGTATAGTCTCCCTCGCCCAGCATCTTTGAACAAACGTGTTGTGGTTAGTCTGGCTATACCTAAAAAAAAACGTTGAAGCTGAGCTTATGCCCTACTATATATACATAGCAATTCATACTCCCTACACTTGAGTAAATGAGCGGCTCGAGCTCCGCCCCCCCCCCCCCCCCCCCCAAATGGTAGGGGTTTAGTCCTCAACTTGTACTTTGGTATTGTGCTCGTAATCGATCACGATACTCTCTTTTCATTCTTTTTTGGATTATTTGTATCTGGCCGGTGGAGAATAATTATATAACTATGCGGAAAAGAAAGAAAAGGTTATGGCTTTGCTCCTTATCGTACGTTTGTATGGAGAATCAGTAATATAATTGGAGATGAGTTTACCATTGCACTACACAATCACAAGTACCCATACTATTAAATAGCGGTTCGGATCTCTTCCACCCTATTTAAAAAACTCTATGGTCATCTGTCACAAGATGGGCTTATTCTTGCAAACTTGCCAAGCATTGAATTTTATTACTAATCATAAGATATCACTCGCTAATAATTACTAGCGAGAAAACTTAGATCTTAAGAAGCAGCTTGCCCGTCGTCTTCCTACTCTCAATGTCTTCCTGGGCTTTCCTCACATCCTTCAAAGGGTATACCTTATGGATTCTCACGTGTACCTTACCCTCTTTAATCCACCCAAAAATCTCCTGTGTGTATTTATCAAACTCCTCTCTCGTTGCTGTTGCCCTAGGGTCAGTCCAATCCGATCTCACACATCACCACCACCGGAAGGAAGGGAACATACCTATATATCCAAACAGCTGCGGCCTCAATACTTTCAAGTTCTTCGCCGACAACCTCGCAATCGCAAATGGCGGAACCGCACCACTCGCATTACCAAACGACACCAACGATCCCTTCCTGGCAAGGACCTGAAGATCGCCTTCAAAAGTGCTCTTTCCAACGCCATCAAATACCGCGGCAACACCATTCCCCTCGGTGATCTTCAATGTCTGCGCGACCCAGTCCTCGCTGCTGTAGTTGATCAAATGTTCCGCGCCATTAGCCTTGGCAAGCTCCAACTTCTCGGCTGTAGACGCTGTCGCAATCGTGTGTGCGCCAATGATACGGAGGATTTGGCAGAGCCAGAGTCCGACGCCGCCGGCCGCGGCGTGAACGAGGATGTAATCGCCCTGAGAATTCACGTTAGCATCCTACTACGAGCGAGGTCTAGGCAGTTGAAGGAAGTATATACTTTCTTAACCTCGTAACTCTCACGTACGAGCGTTAGCGCTGTAAGTCCTTGAATCATCGAGGCTGCGGCAAGACCCGGAGCAAGGCCTTCGGGGATGTGCGTAGCATGTAAAGGCGCAGCCACAGTATATTCGGCTTGGGTATCAGCGGCAAGGTAGGCGACGCGGTCGCCAACTTTGAAACCCTTTACCTCGGCGCCGACAGAAACGACGGTGCCTTCGGCTTCACGGCCAAGAGTGTAAGGGAACTTGGGAACGGGATAAAGGCCGCTGCGGAAGTACTGCTGCTGGGTTAGTTATGGGATGCATGGAGGTATAGAGGGGACGCACGGTGTCAATGAAATTAATGCCAGCGAACTCATTCTTGATGAGGAGTTCAGTGGGGGACGGGGTGGGGACTGGGGCGGATGTGTTGATTTCGACAACCTCGGGGCCGCCGTGGGAGTTGATTTGAACAGCAGTCTGAGTTGTTGGGATGGTGGTAGACATTGTACGGATTGGTATGTGTATCTGGGAGAGCTGGTGAGGTTTTGGAGAGATACGAGGTAGTGGTACTAGTAGTACTGACGATGGTCGTGATATATAGAAAACTGATGAGGAGCGGAGTATACGGAGTGCAAGACGAGGAGACATTGGAAGGTTTAAGTACCAGACCCGGGTTCTTATATTCACTGATTATGCTAATTGACAGCTTGCCTGATCATTGATTGGCTAGCCAACACTAAGCTTTACAAATAGCCATTCGAATATTCTGGTTTATAAGAGAGATGAGGTTAGGTCTGTATGACATTCGTATTTGTAACCCTGCTACGGTAGATATACATGTATCGGCCGAGTTACCCTATCTATAGGCATTTATATGGGATGATTGTATTTGGATGGATGAGTGGTGTTTTGGCGGGGTGCAGCAAATGGGCGGGGATGATGACGGAATTCGGTACTGGGATTAATTGTCGTTGTCGCTGTCGTCCAAGGGCTAGTGTTCGGAGTTAGCTTGGTGGGGGGTTGCGCAGGCACGATAACTAAGACCGACGGGTGTCACAGGAGAGGGGACCTCCATGGATCCAGTTGAAACTTGAGTGTATATGTAAAGTATGCGAGCCTCGGTCTTGGAACACATGCACTCACCACTACTACACAGCTACAGTACAGCTCTAGTGGCGTATCAAGGGCCAGCAGCTCCCTCAATCCAATCCAACAGACACCAAGCCAAACACTCAAGACTTAAGACTCAAGAAGTGTCAAGACTTTCACAATCGATAACATAACGGCAGTTCCCGCAGCCACATCTGGGCGATCCACTACCAGCCGGAGAGCACGCCGATCGTACACAAAGTTACAACACCCGCCTGTTTCACCTTTCAAAGCAATGTCTCATCTTATCCCAGGCACTAAAAATCACATTTTGTTTGGCACTCTTTTTTTCCCCCCTTTACTGGACCATATATATCAAAAGGCGGAACTAGCTAGGAATATTTAAAAAATCACGCCCAAGTCTATCGATGCTCCCCGGCTCACAAGAAAACTAACTCAAACCCCAGGCCCTAGCTTAATTCTGCTTCTTCAATGCGTCCAGCATATCCTGCGGCGGTGGCTGGCGGTATCCCTGTGGGTTATTTGACACCCTACGATTCGTTAGCATTCAATCCACACAAATCAATTAAGCAGGATAACGTACCAGCGCCACAGGTCCACACACGCCTCCTCCAGCGTCATCTCTGCCTTCCACCCGAGCTCCTCATTCGCCCTCTTCGGCACCGCTGTCAGATCCAGCACATCGCCCTTTCTCCTCTCCGCCGTCTCATACTTGAGGTCCCGCCCAACAGCTGCTGAGAACGCTTTGATCATGTCAAAGACCGTTGAGCCCTTTCCAGTGCCCAAGTTCCATGCGCGGCAGCCAGGGTTATCATTCTTCAACTTTGCCAATGCCGCAATGTGGCCCTTGGCCAGGTCGATGACGTGGATATAGTCGCGGATGGCAGTACCATCATGAGAGGCGTAGTCTGGTCGTTGTTAGTTGGGAAATTTCGGTCACCGTTTTAGAAGTAAACCTACCAGTTCCGTAGACCATAAGCTTCTCACGGCGCCCGACCGCAACCTGTCCCAACAGCGGAAGAAGATTGTACGGGTCGCCCAATGGGTCCTCTCCCATGATACCAGATGGATGCGCGCCAGCAGGGTTAAAATATCTCAAAAGCGCAGCATTCCATCCAGGATGCGAATCAACGTGGTCCTCAATTACTACGCTGTAATGTCAGGATCAAGTACAGTGGGTGTAGAGCAAGGAGGTTACGTACTCATCTCGGTCATCATCTTGGTGCGCCCGTACGGGTTTGTGGGGCCGATAGGGCAGTGCTCAGGAATCGGGATCATGCCCTCGTGCAGTGTGGCGTCGCCATAGACAGTGGCCGACGAGGAGAAGACAATGGTTTTGACGCCGTTGGCCTGCATGGCGCCGAGGAGGGCCACAGCACCGCCGACGTTTACGCGATAGTACTCTACTGGCTTCTGAGCGGATTCACCGACTGCCTTTAGGTGTGTCAGCATCAATAATATTGTATACAATATAATACAAAAGGTAGGTGTCCGGGGCGAAGACTGGGGTTGGGGTAAAGGCAGAACACACCTTCAGTGCTGCAAAATGGATCACCGAGTCGATCTCGGGATGTTTCTTGAACACGGCATCCAGCGCCTGCTGGTCCGTGACATCGACATTGTAGAAGACGGGCTTGCGGCCACAGATGAGCTGGATGCGGTTCAGGACCTCCTCAGACGAGTTGTAGAGGTTGTCGACGATAATGACGTTGTAGCCCGCGACGAGAAGCTCCAGGCTGGTGAAGGAGCCGATGTAGCCCGTTCCTCTTCAAGAAAAATATACATTGTTAGCTAGGATGCTCTAAACGGTTCGGATGACATGACGGGAAAGACACTTACCCCGTGATCAGGACGGTTCCAGTCATGTTGCCCGGTAACGGAGAGGTCGTAGGGTGGGTGGTGGGAGTGGATGGACGACGACTAAAGACAAAGGCGAGCTAATGGATCAATGAAGCAGTTGGGGGGGATAGAACGTTAGTCTACAGTGACAGCAGACAAGACAATGGAATAGGAGATTGTGTGTGTGCACGGAACACAAAGGGTTGTAGTAGATTATATGGCGGGGTTTTCCAGAGAGAGGGGAAATGGGATGAGTTATGGATGAATTGGATGGAGGAGGGGTGGAGGGGTGGATGATCAAGATGACTGGTTTTTGTTGATATAGCCTCCATAGAGTAGTGGGGGGAGGGGCTAAAACGGAATCTCGTTTTTACGGACGGGCCCGGGAGTACTGGGTCAAACAAAAATAGCTCTCTCGCTCTCTCTCGCTCTTGCTGGATATATGGGTCTACGACGGGCAGGCAGGGACGAAATAAACCTGTATGGTATGTTTTTCTTTCTTTTTTTCTGGCTAGCTCTAGGGTATTATAGTAGGGCACATGTGGTAGGTACATAGTAGTAGGGGTAGAGGGGGGAGCTGGATAATCATCTTGTAGCGTAGGGCACGTTTGATAGGCCTGGGAACTAGTAGGACAGAGAGGTGTCAGGGACGGGTGGGAACTACTCACTATCAGTATTCCAACAGCGCCTAGGGACCACAAGGCCCTTTGTCTGGCCGAGAAAACAGATGGCATTGTTTTTCTTGGGGCGAATGGTTGTTTTGTGGGGTGTGTAGGGATGGAGTATGTAAGAAGGACCCTTTGTTTAAGACTTGGCCATCAAGAAGGTCGAACAGCACACACAACGATGATCATTTCCCCCCAGTTGATATTTGGTCTGGGGGAGTGCCAAGATTGGCGCCTGTCCAGATATGGCGGGCGGTTGCAGGTGAACAGCGAAAGGCTTGGCCCTGACAACCACGTCTCCCCGTCCTTGTTTCTGTTCGTTTCCCTTCATCGCCCTCCACAAAATTGTAGAAAAGTAATTCGAGGACAATAAGCAGCTCCAGAATATAGCCCTCTTTGGAAACTCATTCCACACATCAAATACAACACTCCCATCCATCTCTCTCCGTCCGTTGATCAAGCCACGCCATCCCCAACCACCCCATTCATCGATTCGGGCCCATCTATCACCTACAAGGAACTCCCAATTGGTCAATAACCCACCCACAATCCTGGGGGTAATCGTGCTCGCTCCCTCCTCATCCTTCTCCACCACCCCCGTTAGCTGGACGCAGCAGACAATGCCCCGATAGTTTGCTGCTGCCCGCCGCCTGTTTTCTACCAGACAAAGAAAACAACCCCCCCCCCCAAACCTCAAATACTATAACCACAAACTCCTACTTACAGCCATCACCCCGGTATCATATTCCTGCAGCTTCTGGTACGCGTTACATCACATACTCCTCTTTATATCTACACTCTGTCCCGCCAGCATCCTCTAGAAACCCTTCAACACTTTTTATTTCCGGTTGGTTACAGGCTCCTCTATCGTCAAAGGTCCGCCAACATCAGTGTACATCCGCTTGTCTGCGCCGGCGCATTTGCCTCGCCTTTTCTACCGTGCTAACTAGCTTGTTCGTTCGTCGTATCAAGCATGTTTACCGCAACACCACCCTCCGTCAACCGGCGACGGTCAGCGGGTCGGAAATCGCTCGGACTCGGGGAGAAAGAGCAGCTCCCGTTCGTCGCAACCAGGAACAACTACTCCTATGGGTCACAATTCAGCAATATGCCCAAACCGCCGCAGTTAGCGGAAACAAAGGTTCCCTTGTCTGTTGCGCTGAAACAGCAGCAGGATGCATCACAGGCTAGAATGAGAGCGGAGGAAATAGAGAGGGAGAGAGCTGCGAGGGAGCCAGGCACTGTGGAGCCAGAGGACCGTAGAAGGTTTGACCCTGACAAGACTGTAGTGGATAAAAGGTCGCAGAAAGAGACGGAGATTGCACGAGTGCAGCAAGAAACAAGGTCACTAAGAAATGGTCATAGTAGTGCCGTGAGCGAGGAACGAACAGCTCCGACTACAGTGTCTACTGCCATGCCACCGCCGCCACGCAGAAGAAGTCCGAGGCAGCAATCTGGTATGTTCCTGCAGTTCCCCCTCCAACTTGCGTAAGAGGGTTTACCATTCCAATATTCATTTATCCTGCCATGGGCCGTATATCTCTATCGTCTTTTGTAGTCACTGATATAGTTGGCTACACAGAAATCTCTGATCATTCGTATTCCATCGGTTTCGATACTACTCAGGGAATGAGCCGCTCCTATGCTTCCGAAGATGACGTTGGCCTTGCTCTTGGTCGAAAGTTCACCCAAAATTTAGCGGACCTCCCGTCAGATGGGTCCGCAACTGATGAGGATGACGAACCGGTTGATGATCACTGGCTTGGTACACCAGCAAGAGGGAGTACACGGCAGAGCGATGCTGGCTCTGTAGCTGGCTCTGTAGCTGGCTCCAAACGTTCAGGAAAATTCAGCCAAGAACCTGCATCCAAACACAAAACGCCAAGCGAACAGGGTCTCCCGGAGGAAATGGATCAAGAGTACTACGACGATTACTCTCAGCATGACCCATCAGATATGTATGGATCGGGTAATGAGAGTGAGAGCGATAAGGAGGAGGAGGAGGAAGAGGAGGACGACGAGGACGAGGACGATGAGAGATATGCAAGGAACGAATACATGAATGAGAAAATATCGAAACAACTCGAACTTGCAGAACAATTACTTCCCATTCTTGTAGAGGGAGTGGTAGCCTCTGGTCCGCCCGCTGGAAGACCTGCCAATTACGGTCTCGAGTTATTCTACTATCACTGGAATTGGTGGTTGTACCGACGTACGATGGGTATTATTACGACGGTATTTATCTCGATAATACTTTTCTCGGCATATTTATGGGCTGTTTCTCATCTCTTTGGAGTTGACGTTCGAAATCTACGCGCGACACATTTCACTTATCAGCGCCCCTTTGACCCGCCAACAACTTGGGAAGATGTTCAAGTTCGCATGTACGAAATTGAAAAGGTAATCCAAGATTTCGGGTACCATGCATCTAGGGAGCAGCTCGAATTCCAGGACACAATGCGAAAGGAAGTCGAAGTTCTCGAAGGGAAGGTTATTAGCCTTGAAGAAGACGGGCAAGAAAGTGGAAAGGCTGTCGCGGATGCGCGGAAAAGGTTGGAGGAACTAGATGACAGCATCAAAGCTTTTGCGGGGTTCCGGGAGCAGATCGAAAGTGATTTCGAGAATCAAAAGAGAATGCTCAGATCACTCAGAAGCCAGCAGGATTCTTCAATGGGCTCGATCAAAGATTCTCTTCCAAACAAAGTGGTACTTAACGTGAAAGATGATGGAACTTATACGTTTCCACCCGACTTTGAGAAAGCCTTACAGAAGTTGATTAAGCAGACATATCCGTCTGACGGACCTACGGGGTTCGCCGAGACCGACAGGGAAACTCTTCAGCGAGATCCTGATTGGAATGACTTCCTACAAAAGAATGACAAGAGATTGAGAGGTCTTATTGATGAACACACAGGTCTCACATATGACCAGTACAAAGATCAAGTGTTATTGAGTAAGGGGACTGTCACCCAATTGATCGATCAGAAGGTCAAGGAGAATGGAGATTGGGCCGTCAACGTGTTTTGGCCAAAGATTGAGAAAGAATTCATGGAGAGGCTTAACCAAGATTCTGTCCTTCCAACTCTTGTCGAAGATGCAATCAAAAAGTCGCCGCTTGTTGTTGATAGTGCTGTTCGAAAGTATATCAACCAAAACCCACACTTCGCGCCCAAGGAGGGTTCCGCTTCCTCTGGCTCAGGTTTCAGTTCCGATGCCGAGGTCCCTTCACTTAGCGTACCAGACTATGCTTCTCTTCTTACGGGTGGAAAAATTTCCCCTTGGGCAACATCACCAACATTTGAATGGTCAAGTAACAAAAACCGTTGGTTCTACGCTGTTTTTGGTAAACGACGCGGTGTTATCGCACAGCCCACAGTTGCAATCACTCCTACGAGCGATGTCGGCCAGTGCTGGCCCTTCCCTGGTGACCAGGGTAATATTGGCGTCAGGCTTGCGCTACCCATTTTTGCGACTCAGATCTCAGTCGAACATATCCCGAAATCCCATGCCGTTGACATCTCATCTGCGCCTCGAAAAATTGAGTTTTGGGCTCAGTTTGAGGATGCTGAGACCAGAGAGAGAGCAGAGAAAGCTGCGGCAAGGGCGTTGAATGAGATTGAGTGGTCAAAGGACAGGCTATGGGACCGCGACAGTACATCATCGCCTCCAGGACCCAGTGGGACCTTGTACGACAAGTTCGTCAAGTTGGGTGTGTTCAAGTACGATATCAACTCGGGAAATCCGAGGATCCAAACCTGGGATCTTCCTGTTGACTTGGTCAACTTGAACATCACCACCCAGCTCGTTGTCTTCAAGGTTATCAATAATTGGGGTCACCCGGATTACACATGTCTATACCGTGTGAGAGTCCACGGAAAACCACAGATGATATCTAAAGTGATGGATGAGCAGGAACTCGACGCGGGTAAAAGGGCCATTCCTATTCATCCATATCAGTATTAGAGTATGGAAATTATAGTTGGCGTATAAAAAAATATACCTGTATGTGGGGGGAGGGGGGAGTTTATCTTTGAGCTTTTTAAGCCTTTTCACACTTTCTTATTTATAACTTTAACCTGTGTATCTCCTAATCCCCGTTCGTTATTATATCCTTTGGGGGAACAAACCCCTCACTTTGTGAATTCGATCATCGAACCATGGACCTCGCGCTTTTAGGTGACGTGCAGCTTACAGCTTACAGCTTTTTCATTTCTTGTTTCTGTTTATTCCTTTTGTCAGTGTGTTCGGAAATTTACTTATTTGTTTAGGGCATGTAACAGGAGAATGGGTGTTTTTGCTTTGCGTTTGCTCTTTTTAGTTTTACGGGCCTGTAAAGTTCAATACCACTGTTAACTGCGGTCTTGAGTCTTGGTTTTGTATACATTCCTTAGTATTCTCTGGGGGGCGGGGATTGGGGGGATTGGTGCGAGGATGGAGTTGGAGACGGGCTTGGAGTCGGAGATGGTGTTTAATTCTTTTTTCTTCTTGTAATCCATTTCTCCCCCTTTAAAACTTGCTGTGTTGGATCACTCCTATTGCTGAACATCATTCATTAATTAGCCATCTTTTTCTTTTTGTTTTGCTTTATATATAGAGGATATGTAGGGAGAAGGGGCGAGTGTAGCCAATGATTGTTTACTTTGAGCTCTGAGGGGAGGAGTGGTTAGCTAGGTATTGTCGATGCCTCAAGGGATTGAATATATTCTGGAGTGTGGTGGTATATCTTATGGCCATGGCCAGATCTTTCTTAATCATTATTTACGTGTTGATTTTTGTGGCTACTAGAGCTAGCTAGTTGATATGCGGACTAATTTTATAAACCCTCGATCTCTGTAGGCTTGTTTGATTTGATTTTAAAAAATAAGAAGATTGAGTTCGTTACCCAGGATTCCCACATGGTCACCCACTGTAGTACTGACTAGGCGATATGTTGATTATGTATGGCAGAGCGGACGGGATGCCCAGTTTTCAACATTCTATGAACGAACACGTCAGTATGGGCCGAATTAACAAGTTTAATAAAAGTGTGAGCGATTGATGGCGTGAATAGTCTACAATGGCTCGTGAGAAAAAAAAAGAAAAAAGGTGCTCCCAGAGGCGAGAAGTGCAGCATAGGGAGTGACTCACTTGTCAGCTTTAGCAGGGGGGCGTTGTGGTGGTAGTCCACCATACATGCACCTATTCATGTCGAGTGATAATCCATGAATATATTAATTGCGGTTCCTACTAATCGTGCGCAGTCCTAATTAAGGCTACGGTAATGTCTAACATTCATCCACTACCACTAGACGTAGGATTGGAGAATTGCGATATATCATAAACATGAACATATCGATCATAGTTGCTCAAGAACTTGAGGACTGCAGTCTCGTAGCAAGGTGGAGGATATATATATGTCACCGCAACTCGACAGAATTAATCTTTTTTGGCGTGCCCCTTCACTTATCACAACAAATAGTAACAGACACAAGAGGAATGATGTGATGTCTGGCAAGTTTTCCCCGAGAAAGGCAAAAGAAGACCGACGAATAGGTAAGAAAACCACCGAAATCCATCGGAGGAGGTTCCAAATATAGGAGGCCATCTTCAACGTTGGAAATGTTTCTACAGGAGCCCTAGCTCTACAAATGCGCTCGTAATATAGTGGATGACTTATATCCTAAGGCTGCGAATTTTACTCTCTACTAGATTTAAGTGAAGTACAGCCACTTACCAATAGTGCTGTGATGGGCGGCCTAGGAGAAGGGAGTTGTCCAAAAGCATGACAAAAGGTCCGGCCCACACACGCACCAACTGGATTTCGAATCACAATACTTTTAGAGAGTGGCTCTATCAATCAACAAAATTCAAATAGGAGTACTATGATGCGGAAGGCCTTTCTGAACTATGATACCTAGAACAGAGCTTGGCGCCTTCTATAATAAAGCTCGAATAGGCTCGCACGGCGCAATATTGAGCCCGACATATCTACAACTGCGCCCAATACTATCTATCGCCCAATAATATCGATGACAAAAGGTAACGGCGACGGTGTTGATTTTTTGTGCTATTACTAGTAATGATAAATTCGAGGCAAAGACGCCTAGCTTCTAAATCATACATTCAGTACGTAATTTGACACAGCTATAAAAACATCTAAATGGAATGAACCAAGCAAATGTGATTGAAGACATATCTTCAACGACCAGCTAAAGGTGTCAAAAACACGTGGATTTATTTCTCCGCAAGTTCTGCCAACAACTTGACGGCACTCCGGACTCCCTGCAGGGCGTTGTCGTCGGGCCCTTCACCAGGAGTCCAGGTCGCATGAGCGAAATCAATCAATTTCAAAACCTCAACCTTCTTTTCCTTGGTTTCCACTTCATCCTCCTCTTCCTGATCCAGCTCTTCCTGGGTCTTTGGTGGTTTTTTCGCGTTTTCCTCCTCTTCCTTCAACGCCTCATCCAAAGCCGCCCCATCGCCTTCATACACAAAGAGCAACGATGCAGAGTACATCCTACTCTCTATACCTTCCAACACAGCTTGGATCTCCGCTACCCTTTCCTTGAATCTCTTCGCGAGAAGCTGCATCTGGGACTTTGAGATGTCGCTATCAAAGTACTCCTGGATAGCTTCGATGACGGTCTCGGCCGTGTAGGTCCTGCCGTAGTGTTTATCATAAACCTTGTAGTATCCTTTGACTTCAGATCCCTCGGTGGCCTTCTTCCACACCCTCATGCCTGCAACCCTCATGCCTAGGCTCTTTGAGGTTGTTTTCGCGCTAACGGCGTCTAGACGGTCCCGCTTCTCCTGGGGAGCGTCATTGTCCCAGAGCTGAGCACCGAGTTTGAGATCGAGCACGCAAGGTTTAATAAAGCCGTGGGTAGTGTTCTGGAGGACGATGGACTTGCTACGGTTGCTGGATGGGGTAGTGCCGTCAGGGACAGAGTCGGAGAGTTCGAGAGTGCCGAAGAAGGTGGGCATCCATTTGGCGAGCTCAGGGTGTGTGCCAGCGGACTCGTAGAAAGAGACTTCATGGGCGGTACATGGCTTGATAACCAGAGCACCGGATTCGTCTGAAAGAACACCGTCGCTGTGGTCCATGTTAGCTGTTATAGATGAGAAGTTGGGAGTTTCATAGTTTCGAGATGGGTATGATTCCAGGGTGGAGAAGGGTATAAATGACGTCCTGTGAGCTAAGGCCTAGGGTTCGGGAGTGATGGAAGTGTGGTTGATACCAAGAGCACGTGTAAAAACAGAGAACTTGGGAAGTAAAATACGCAGTCAGAGATTATCATCACTTACTGTCCGGCAGCCGCCAGGTCAAACGCCTTAAGGTCTGAAGCTTTGAGTCCCTCAACAGAAGTAGCCATATTGAAAGATTCTAGTGTCTAGTATCTGGTATCTTGTAGATGATGTAGTTGTATGTACTGATGTATACGTAGTGTAAGTACAAGAAAAAACCGGGAGATTTGGGTATTTATGGGAGTTCTACTGCAGACCGGGCTGCCCAGAAATTTGGAATTCTATCTAACGTACGAGCTCCCCTCTTCAGCTGAGCCATGTAGGCGAGGGGTTTAGGTTTTAATAGCTACATGTATGTACCCCTCCACTAGCGCAACAACGTGCATGAAGTGCTACTCTACTCCAAAATTACCAGCAGACACACCTATCGGCCTTCATCCAGGCATCCCACATAAAAAGTGTCGCTGGCCTGAGCTTTATATGGGCAAGTAATAAAGCATTTAGAGCAGGATTGGCAGTTAACGCTATCACGGTGTAACATGGTAGGGTGGGGCGTAAACGAAGAAATGCGTCTTGGCAGGGCATCCAACATTATCTTTCCTGCACTGCAGAACATGTTTGTGGGGAAAAAAGATATCCTTGGTGTTGAAGTTAGGCATCCCGTGGAAATTATGTAAATAAATATCGTGGTGTAAACCGGATAACGGTGTTCACTTTTCTGGGTCTCTAGATGCTTAGGCCGTTTGTTTACCTCCTCGCCCAACCCTCACTTGCTACTTAAAGTACCACAAACCTATCAAACCCACCAACAGAAAGCAACATCCCATTCTTCTTTCTCGAAACCACAATCATGCCTCTCGAGGATACTGCAGCGTCAGCTCTAAACGCTTCAACTAAAAATGGGAATCTAACCGGTGTAGCTGAAGAATTAGCTGATGGTGTCAACATAGCCGCCAACGGTCCCAAGCCCACAGTTGAAGAGCAATGGCACGGCCCTGACAAAGAGAATGGAGGTGTTGATGCGGGAGAAGATGATGATGCAAACAATGCTACACCTGTTCTAGAGGAAGTAGCCCCTAAGAAGAAAAAGAAGAAGAGAAAGCCAAAAAGTGCTAGGAAAAATGTAAGTTTGTATGAAGAATTGCGTGAAGCTTTGTCACTTGTGCTAATTACTGTATCTGTGTAGCCTCCTCCAACCGGGTTCGAAGGTTTGTGTCTTTTTATCATTGAAACATTCACCTAAATACAGGCACTGACCCTCATAGACAATATTGTCGATGGACCTTTCCCACCTGAGATAGTGTCTCTTGAAAACGAGCTTTACAGCCCGTAAGTACCCCCACATAAACTCTCAAGTACTTGACTAACTCCCCATAGCTCTAAGTCTTTCGCTGAGCGCATTGAGACCTGCATTCAACGATACCGCGCCAAGCGCAAATGGGACCCCGTCCGCCTCCAAATCCTCACTTCCTACCTCAATCTTGGGGGAGTCTCCACTGGTCCCAAAGCTTACTCTGGAGGTGTCGATCCTAAAAATGTCGATAACCTTGATGCGGAGACCATACAGACCATGACAGCGACTGACTTTGTGGACAAAGATGACGAGGACACGGAATGGGAGATTGACTTTGAATATGTTGTTCGGGGTTTTCTTAGCTATAGAGTTCCTTATGTACTAGGGTACATGAAATTCGAGGAATTGGAGCTGAGTGCGAAAGTGGTCAGAAACTTTCTCAACTACGTGAGTAGCATTAGTAGCCCCATTGCCTATTATGTATATTGGAAGCAAGGAAGAACTAACAAAGTCTAGATCATCTACCACAACGTAGCCCCAGAGCACGATGAATCCATCCGTTCTGCGATCGCAATCACCGAACTTGGTGAGAAAGAGCTAATTCTATGCCGTCAAGTTTCCGCGCGTTTGCCAGGAAAATTCAACATGGCCTGCTCCACCCTATACGGTGGATACTATGCAGGCATTAAGGATGAATCGCTCACCTGGAGCGGCGGTGCCTACTCCGATATCGGACTCACAGATTTCGAGGCCATTCAGATCGTCAAAGCTTGCCTCGGGAAACGTGGCACTGCTTTGCAGATAGAGACAGGGCCCAGGATGAAGCTTCTCAAAGGGGAATATCTTTCCTTGGAGGTTATTGGGATTGTGCTTGCGGGGACGGGTGGTGTAAAGAAACCACTCCCAGAACACATCCAGAAGGATATCGATGAGGGTGTCATCCAACCAAGGTCCAATATTGACGAGCCAATCGCCGCGGATCCATCTAAAAAGGGATATGAACCTGTGGGGCTCAATGCACTCGGGAAGCTTCTGGTAAAGGTGTGGTGCCCTGAGGGCCCGGAGGAATCTGAATGGCCAGAAACCGATTTGGATGAGTTTGAGATCTGGCTGGAGATGGAGACTTTGCAGTATTGCTTTGTTGGGATGCATCTAGAGGCAAAGGTGCACACCATGAGTAATGGGGTCATCTGGATCGATAGCGTTACTGTGAGTACCCCTAATTCTGATGATAAAGACTGGATTGCTGATTTTAATAAGGGCGTCCAATGCTCCTTCTATCTCCATTTGGACTCCCCAGATAAGGAGATCAGTGAGGATGAGTTTGATTAGAGCTTGGGTGTTATTTCTATGTAGTGGCTTCTCTTTACTGGTTTCCTATCTTTTCTAGTTTGAACTGTTTTTCTACTTTTCGACAATGAGCGTAGGGTATGAGTAGTTATCTCGGTAGCATTCTCATTTTTTTTCACATCCTTGGGAACAAAAAAAATGTACAAAAAAAACAAAAACAAACGAATACCTGAATCCACAATAAAGTGGAGTGCCTAAACCGAGCGAGTGACCACCCATGCAACGGGCTATCCCGTTCACCCGCCAAGGCACATTACCCGGCGCACCAAACCATATCTAAAAATTTCACGCAGAAGTCGTCCGTCCCCCAATTTCCAACCAACCAACCAACCCCCAACCCCCAAACCACATCTACCAATCCACCACCATCAAGATGCATTTGATGTACACCCTCGACGCCGCGGGCAACCGCATCTACACCCTCAAGAAGATCACCCCTTCAGGCGCCGTCACGAAGAGCGCTCACCCCGCGAGGTTCTCGCCGGACGATAAGTACTCTCGGTATGCCTCCCCCCCCCCGCTTCCTTTGTTGTTGGAGAGAGAAAGAGGCTTTATATGATGAGACCTTGTGAAGCGTTCGGAGCGGCCATATAGCGGTCGTGATGACGACGCAAAACAAAAAAATATATCCAATTGTTCCTTCTGATACCTGTGCTTTTTCTCTCAATTTTTTTTTTTATCTTACTTCGTTTGCTTCCCTCAATGGCAATTGACTAACGGGGCTGGAACTAAAGACACAGAGTCACGCTGAAGAAGAGGTTCGGCATCTTGATGACGCAGCAGTGTATGTTCTCCCCCCTCCTCCTCTTCCTCTTGTTTTTAACTCTTATAAAATGCAATTGCAATTGCTAACGGGGATTGTGGTAACAGCGGAGCAGAAGCCGTGGTAGAGAACAGGACCTGAGGGAGTTGGTGGCCGCATGCATTTCGAGTCTGGAAATGCCATGCCCACCGCTGGACTGGACTGTGTTCATAAAAAGCGGGCTCGGAAAAAGAGGAGCTGCTGCCCCCCGATCATGGTGAAAGGGGGTATATAATTCATCTGTTTCTTGGGAAAAAATTTGGGGCGTTTTTTGGGCGTGTAACTTTTTTTTTTTTTTTTTAAAGAGGTCTTTTTTTTAGTGCGCAATATCAATTTTTTTTTTTCACCTCTGACTTACTTGACTTTGGGAGTGAGGGTGAGGCCAATGATTTGATATATGTGACCAATTGATGTGCACTGTTGCTTTCCGTGGGGTTTTTGCTTTCGTAGAGTGAGTCTTTGGGTTGCAATTGGGCTTTGGGGACTGAAACTGTCGTAGAAGCCCGTAGGTTCACGGTTTCCCCTCGGAGTTTCGACGAGCTGGACGGGTGTTCACGTGAGGTCGTGCAGAGATTTTTACTTTTTCATTTTCTTAAAAAAAAAGATTTACATGGCGAGGATCTGAATCTCACGCTCATGTACTCATGGAGAAGAACAAAAAAGACCCCCCCAAAAAAAGGTCAAAAAAAAAGGCAGTCTCTAGTTTACAGTCCAATGGACTCTCCACTCTTATCACTCCCGCTCCCTACAAAAGAATCGCAACAGACCGATATGCATGTCGGTCACCTCTGACACTGTTCCAGGCCACCAAACGGCCCGGCCAGTTCTTAAAAGTGACCCTGTAATTCCTCTACGGGTGCTCAAGATCACATCGCCGGCAACTGGCCCCGCCCCGCAGCAGAAGAAATCTGTGCGGGGCGGGTATTGCGCGGCTTGCACTGTCTAGATTGGACCCAATGATTTCTGAGGAAAGAAGGGGCAGAGATGAGGGGCGGCGCGGTGGTATTTATGCCCTGGCACTCCGCGGCTTGGCGGGTTGGCGGGTTGGGGGGGTTGGGGGGTTGGGGGTTGGGGGGTGCAGGGGGTGCAGGGGGTGCAGGGGTGGGAGACTGGAGCGAGTGTGGGATTTGACCGACGGGTTACCCGGACGGTTGGAGGTTGGAAGGAGGCAGAGGCGCGAATCCCTGCCCTGGGTGGTGGTGCACTGTAGGTACCTACTCTAGATTCTAGATATATGCGCCTGCTCAGGACAGCTCCCCAGCCGCAGCGGTGCTCGCGATAACCCACCCACAACCACAACAAATACAAAACAATGGAAGACACAATCTACACGACCTCGACGCAGTACCGTCTCTTCACGTACACGCCCCAGCAGCTCTCGGACCTGCGCCATGCCACGAACCGCGCCGCCGCCGAAAAAATCACGGCGTCCATCAAGGCCGCGCGCGCCGCCGGCGACCGCGACGACGCAGACAACGACGGCGACGAGGAGATTGATTGCCCGACGGCGGAGGAGGAGTTGAAGCTTGTGGCGTACTATTGCGTCAAGTGCATGCAGCTGTCGGATCACTTCAAGTTCCCCAGCGCCGTCAAGGTAGTTCTCCCCCGACTCTCCCGGGCTGTCATAGATTAGAGGGGATAGCGAGCTAACCACACGGGAAACAGGCGACAGCACTCACCTTCCTGCACCGCCTCTACCTCACCACCAGCACGCTCACCCTGCACCCCAAAAAGCTCCTCCTCCCCATCCTCTACCTCGCCACCAAGACCGAAAACTACTACACCCCCATCGACCGCTTCATCGCGACCGCCCTCACCGCCGGCACCACAATCACCAAGGACGACCTCATCTCGCCCGAGTTCAAGATCGCCATGGGCCTCCGCTGGGCCTTCCAGATCTGGCACCCCTTCCGCGGCCTCGAGGGCATCTTCCTCGAGCTCAACGCAATGCACCAGGGCACCTACGCCTCTCCCGCTCACCTCCCCGGCGAGGCCGAGGACGCGAAGCGCCGCCTCGAGGACCTGGCGGGGAGTGATGTGGTTGGGAGGATAGGTAGGGCGCATGGGGAGGCGAGGGCGATACTCACGAGTACGGCGCTGCTCACGGATGTGTATTTCCTGTACACGCCGCCGCAGATCAGCTTTGCGGCGTTCCTGGAGGCGGATAGAGAGCTGGCGGAGATGTATCTGGATGTCAAGTTCCCTGCCGGGAACGCGGCGGCGGAGGCGACGAAGAGGAAGCTGCTGAAGGTAGTGGGCGAGTGTGCGGAGCGGCATCTGTCGAGCAGCATCACGAGGGAGACGCCGAATCCGTATCCGGGGCTGTGTCTGCAGTTGCCGCAGAATGGGGTTGCGACGTCGGTGCTGGCGAGCTTGGATAAGGGGCTGGTGAAGGAGGTGACGCGGGTGGATAAGAAGCTGTACCATGTGACGAACCGCGATCGGAAGGCGAATGGGGGCGGCGGCGCGGGGAAGAAGGAGAAGGAGAGGGAGGGGAATTACGAGGCGAGTGCGGCGGAGGAGGAGCGGAAGGCGAAGAAGAGGAGGTTGGAGAGGGAGAAGCTGGCCAGGGATGGGGATGTGTTTGGCGGGGCGCTGCATCCAACGCAGGAGTAGTAGTAGTAGGTGGTTTAATTAGAAATTGTGTATTTTATATAGAAGAGCGTGGGACTGCTTGGGTTGGCGAAATGATTCCCTTTTTTTCCTTTTCTCTTTCCTTTTTTGTTCGTTAGCCTTCTCTTTGTATATGTATATAAAATAAACATATTGCTAATTGCCACCGTTATCTTTTTCTGTCTTGCGGACTGGTTGTTGTGGGAAGTGAGTGGGAAGGATTGGTACGGACCGTGGAAGTAGATGTCGTCGAGTCATGAGATATCACTCACGCAGCGGAAAGTTTAATGACAGCTTCGGCCCGCCCAGGTAATGATGGAATGCGGGCCGCATCACTATCAAACGAGTCCTTGCATGGTAGAAGCGGGTGGCTCAGCGAAACTGATCCTGGCACCGCCCTTCACTAGTACAAAATAGCACTCCTACCCCACACTTAGGGCCTGCTCGGTTGGCCACAAATACTATGGTAATGGGCCAAGTTACCAAGGTATTCACAAAACTCAGTAATAATACCACGGTATTGGGTCAAAATACCATGGTAAAAATAAACAGCTCAGACCTGTTTATTTCTACCTTCCGCACCTCAACTCCTCATAGTTCATATCCCCACATTTGGAGTATGTTCTCAACAACTATGGACATGCTTGAAAATAAATGTTTAACCCCTGTGATACTTTTATCAATTGCAACAACTGTTGGCGAATACTACAATGTAATAAGTCATCCTGTTCCGGTGCCTCCTATGTCCCCCTTGATGGTTGGGCTTATTGGGTCTCAATACTTGGTTTTGCTGGCCTTGCCGAACACCCCAATACTCAGTTTTGCTTCGGGAAGAAAATACCATGAAACCGAACTTACCGTTGTATTCAATACAATGCCCAACCGAACAGGCCCTTAGCTTTCTTCCTCTCTTCCTTCCTTTTCCCGGCTTCCCCTCCCGTCCGAAACAAGAGAAGGTAAAAGAGAATAGACAGCCAGAATCTTGTCGGTCCTTGGGTGTATCCGAGGGGATAAAGTGGTTCTGGGCTGTTTAACTTCCAGGACCGCTGTGTTTCTATTAGCCCCCTGGCCGCACAGCATGGTCAATTCTGGGGTACGCCTCTGTTTCTCTACTCGGCTCAACATTTATTTCCAACCTACTGTCTACATCGTATTCCAGGTACCAACCTCGCATACGGCATAAATCAATGGGCTACTGAAGTCCGTTTATTCACAGTAAGGTAATTAATGAAAAATATGAAGATGGATGGTCTGATCAGGACAGGACAGGACTAGACAGAGCAGGGTACAAATCAAGAAGCACAACACAGCGAAACCTCCCTCAGCAATCGTAGAAACCTCGAAAAGAGGCATCCTCTGGCTCTGATGGTTAGCTACGTGGGATAGGAGACCTTGAGCTCAGTTAGAACTTGGCTTTGGGTAGAGCACAGAGACCAGCGTAGAGATGGCCAGTCTCAAAGAACAGATAAGCACTCTAGAGGGAATGGAAGGTGGTCTTAGTAACAGTGGTCTTAGTAACGGCGCCCGCAGTCTAGCCTAAGTGGACGTGTCATCTTTATATGTACAAGTAGACAGGCTTTCGTCCTCCTTGGTGATAGAACCATACGTCCTAATATTACTTATTGAGTCTTCGTCACAGGGAGCATTTACCCAGGCACTATCTTGGACGAGATGAGTGAGAGGAATCTTTCCTTCAGAGATCGAGATCCTCTACCCGCGAGCCCTAGCAAGTACTGTATTCGAATTCACCTCTGGCTACATGTGTCTAATACGTATTATCTCAATGACTTGACACCCACACCTTGAGCAAAGGGCATGCACGGTACTACATGTAGTATCCAGTATTGAAGAAGCTAGTAGACTCACAAGTTAAAGTTAGCTCTGAGGGCTTCTTACAGGAGACCGGGTACCTTTCTTTACGCTGTTCGGATGAGGCCTAGCTACTACACTTATGATAAGTCTACATGTATCTATCTTTACCTTAACCGTGCCTAGCAAGATCATTTAGCTAATTGTTACCTGTGGCGCTGGTCTTTGTCAACTGCATGTAGTGGAGAGTCGCCCGTACGCGTGGTACCCATGCATCTTGGTCTACAGACTCCAATCTGACCATCCACTGCAGCACGATTACTGGAGGTACATCTACGGACAGCTATCAGATTAGCTCCTACCCACTACCTCGAACCTTTTACGATACCTACTCCTACCTCATCCTCATTCTCTTAAGTCCAACTCTCAGCACCCACACAGCCACGAAACAAGGTACTCAAACTAGTCCCCAAGACACCATTCACCCAATGTCCTAGAAGCTCCCAATTCCCTGTTTCGTCGCTTATAGTGTCGAGGGCTGCTTAAAAGAGCTTTACCCCGCTATGGGAGTGTCAAGATGAAAGATGAATACATAGTACATGCAGTGGTACAATCCCCGGCGGTGTCTATAATCACACAATATCTGCGTCATGTATTCTCACTCGCATATCTCGAGCGACAAGAGCGTCATAGCACTAAGCAGAAGGGAAGATAAACACGCCTGGTGGTGCCATTACCCACTATGGGAGCTCCATGGACGCCTTTACACGAAGTCAATTGCGCATACCTACCGAACTGGCATATATAGTACTCCAAGTTTGAGTGGCCACACAGCATCACTCACGATCACTCGCTGGCTAGGTCGCACCTCAGTGGTCAATAGGCCCCGAAGCAACCTCTACCTCTACAATACCCGGGCCCCATATAAACCAACTGGAATATCCTCAGAGCTCAGAGAAAGACTCACCTGTATTTGTCAACACCTCGGCTCCACCTTCCCTCCCGCTGTCCTCAGCCTCGGTTCCGGTTGACATGTCGCACAGCAGGGCCCGCGCATCAGACGATTAGTGATCTGTGTCATGCTGCAGCCCGCCATATATACTGACAGCCGACTGACAGATCCTCAGCGAGTCTTCTTCTTCTCCTGTCTGTGGAAAGAATTCGTTCTTTGCTTGTTCACTCCTTCACTTTCTCTCTTGCGGCCAGAAGTCTGGAATTGTTTGGGGCGCGCGGTTCTTATCTACTAGCTGTTTCGATCCTCTAGACCTTACGTAAACCCTCACGGCTTTTCACAAAACCGCCCCCCCTCTCTCACTTCTCGCACCTAGACAGACATGAGCATGCTGAAGCTCCGCCGTCTAGTACGAAGTACCTCAACCCATTCCTTCCCCCACTAGATCCCCTCCCCTCCCCTCCCCTCCCCCTTCCCTCTCCCACTCCCACTTCTCCACCAAACACCTACTCACCACTCACAGCCATGGCCACCGCCCCGCCCCCCACCAGCACCCTCCCCCCCACCACCCCCCCACTCCAAATCCACACCACCATCGCCTCCCTCCGCGCCTGGCGCCACACCCAACTCCTCTCCTCCCGCACCGTCGGCCTCGTCCCCACCATGGGCGCCCTGCACGCCGGCCACCTCTCACTCATCCGCGCCGCCGCAACCGCCCACCCCGCCATCTGCGTCTCCATCTTCGTCAACCCGGCCCAATTCGCGCCCCACGAGGACCTCGCCCAGTACCCGCGCACGCTCTCCACCGACATCGCGCAGCTCGAGGCCCTCAACGCCAGCCTGCCCGCGGGCGCCGGCCGCATTGAGGCCCTCTTCCTCCCCGCCGTGGCAGAGCTCTACCCCGGCGGCATCCCGCTCGAGCAGGACAAGCAGCGCGGCGCCTTCGTGACGGTCGTGGGGCTCGGCGAGCAGCTGGAGGGCGTCACGCGCCCGCACTTCTTCCGCGGCGTGGCGACGGTGTGCACGAAGCTGTTCAACGCGGTGCAGCCCGACGCGGCGTATTTTGGCCAGAAGGACGTGCAGCAGACGGTGGTGCTGAAGCGCCTGGTGAGGGACCTGTGCATGCCCGTTGAGATCCGCGTGTGCGAGACGGTGCGCGAGGGGGAGGACGGGCTCGCGATGAGTAGTCGGAACGTGTATCTGGGCGAGAAGCGGCGCGCCGTGGCGGGCGGGCTGTATAGAGCGCTGAGTGCGGCGGAGGAGGCGTATATGGGCGGTGCGACGGAGCGGGCGGTGGTGCTGGGCGCGGCGGAGGAGGTGTTGCAGGGCATGGGGAGGGAGGAGGGCGTCGAGGTGAGGGTCGAGTATGTTAGCTTGACGGACGGCGAGGAGCTGCAGGAGCTGCAGACGCTGGATGGGAGGGGGGGTGCCATACTAAGTGGGGCGGTGAGGATGATGCCGACGGGGGAGGGCGAGGCGCCGGTGAGGATTATTGATAATATCATCTTTAAGGCTAGGTAGAGAGGTCACTGGGGACGGTGTATTTAGGTAGTAGAAAAGTTATGCTTAGAGTGATACCTAATGGGATTCAGTGAGCGTGAGAGGCTTGAGTGTGTTGCGTAGAGTAGAGGGGAATTGGCCGTGTCCTGTCCTGTCCTGTCCTGCCCTGCGAGGTGTGTTGGGGTTGGCCATGGGTCTGGGTCATGTGTGGTTGTTGATGGCATATATACAAGTCCCCGTCCGGAGTGAGTGTAGACAAGCATGCGCAAGCAAGTAGGATCTGACTGAAAGAGCGGAGTAGAGTAGTCCAAGAGCAAGAGCAAAGAAAAAGAGAAAGAAAAAAAAAAATAAACTCCAAAAAGATCCGACCCATAAGAGAATGCGAGAAGAGAAAGAAATAAAAAGAGCCAAACAGAGAGAGAGAGAAAATAGCCTATGAGGAACATTCACAGCCGAGTGACACTTCATGATGCACAACCCCCACAACTTCAACCTCCAGCTCCAACACCAATTCCTCCACCAGAGCTCCACAATCCACAATTCCTCTACCAACCCGCCAATCCATATCCATATCCATATCCATATCCACCCACATCCATCCACCTCCACAAACCCCACCACCAAAAGCCCCCCCCCCTCCCCAAAAGCGAAAAGAAACAAAACGCCCTACTATCTTTTTTATCTCTCCCTACCTACCTACCTACCTACCTACTACGCACATGAGCTAAGTAAAAAAAAACATAACCTATCCACATTCAGACAAAGTCCCCAAACGCATCATCGTCAAAGCCCATCTTCCCGTCAAACCCAATCTTGCTAAAGTCCTCCAGCCCATGCTGGCTCATGCGGTTGCGCTTCACATCCTCTGCGCTCGGCGGCGGCGGCAGGAACGGCAGCCCACCACCACCGCCGCCGCCGCTGTCGGAAGACGCTTTCGGCGACGAGGGCGCCCGGCGGCGACCCTTATTCTATCCGCACCCAGCTAGATCAGCATAACCATCCTCAATTGACGCCCCCCATCCCCGGGTAGATACGTACCCCGATAGTGATATTGATCGTCTCCCCCTCCTTCAGGCTATAGTCCTTCTTCTTCTCCGCGGCCGCCGTCTCCTCCGTCTTCTTCCCGCGCTTTGCGCCGCCGCCGGTGACGCCCTCGGCGTGCCGCCGCACCTCCTGCAGGCTGACGCCGAAGTCGAAGGCCTCGCTGCGCTCCTCGAAGCCGATGCCGAGCATGGCCTTGCGGCCGCTGTCGACGACGCGCACGGCGAAGAAGCGCGAGCTGTCGGTGACTTGCTCGACGCAGTGGGCGCCCTGCCACCTTACTGTCAGCTGGGATTGGGGGAGAGAGGTAGGGGGTGTGTGGGAAGAAGGGGCCCCGGGGCGGGGGGGGGGGAGGGATGGTTACCTCGTACGGGCAGTTAGCAAACAGGTCGCCGGTCTTTGGGTCCTCGAGGCGCACGTCGGTGCGGACGTTGTCGTTCTCGGCGCCGTCGGCGGAGAGCGTGGCCGTCTCGATGATGCGGATGCGGGCGGTGAAGATGAGGCTGCTGGGCTGGTCGACGTTCCATGTGGCGGCTTTGTGGCCGGTGTTGGAGGAGAGCGGCGGCACGGCGTAGATGTGCACTTTGGGCGCGAGGAAGAGGATTCGCTGGATTTCTTCCGACATTGTGGGGTTTGGGGGGGATGGGGAGTGTGGATGTGTGGTGGGATGGGATGGGATGGAGGGATGGGATGAGGGAGAGCTGTGTGGTGGTTTGTGTACGACGGTGGGTGAAGCTCTGCTGTGTGGTGCTCTGCTTGCGTGGTGTGCTCGTGTATGTAGCTGCTCTCTCTCAGCTGTGTTGCGGCACTGACAAAGACGGGCACACGCGGGATTGGCTGTGGAGCGAGTGCGTAGTAGCAGCAGTAGTCAACAGCAGCCAGTAGCGGTAGCGGTAGCGAATAGCAGTAGCAGTAGCAATCGCAGCCAACAGCGATAGGCAGTGAACTATTGTAGCAGCAGTAGCAGTGCTGTATCAATATCAATAGATCAACAGATACAAATCATCCCCTTGAGCTCTGTCTGTCTGTGATGCGCTGGCACACACACAACAAATGCTTGTGTCGTGTTTGCTGCCCCGCGCTAGCACGCTTTGGGGAGAGGGGCAACTTTTTATTAATGCTGGCGCGGGAGAGGGGAGAACTTCAACACCAACCCGCAACACCGTCACCGTCACCGTCACCGTCACCGTCACCGACACCGACACTCACTCACTCGCCCGCTCGCTCGCTCACGGTCGATTATACTTTGTTTACTCACGCATAACCACAGAGGTTCTGTTGCTGTCTTGTCTTGTAATAGGTTGTTATATACTGTCTCTTGCTGGTTTGTGGATGATGGGCTGGGTGCGGGATGCGATGGATGCGATGGACGCGTGCCCGGTGGGAGATGGGGGTGGTAATGATCGAATGCTAACGTTCTCTGCGAAGCTTGCGACGCGAGCCCCCTCCCCGTACCATTCTATTCTCTTAGCCGTCTAGCCTTAGCTGTATCCCACCCGTACCCGCTAGATAGCTCCAGCTGTCCTTCTTTCCTGCCCGTCATGCCGGAACCCTTCCCTTGTAAGTTCTCATTATCATCATCACCACATCTCACTCTGCGATTTCTGTCTCTGTCTCTCATTCTATCTGTGCACGTTTCTCTGCTTGCATTGTATTCTACCTACACCCCATCTGCCCACACTGCCATCTCCCTCTGCATCTACGACCCCATCTCTCCACCTCCATAAACTCCCCATCTGCATCCCCATCTCTATAACTTCATCCTATAAACTGCCCACCATGTTCAACATCTTCCGCCCCCGCAACTCCTCACTCACACACCCCTCCACAGACACCTCCCCCGCGCCCGGGATCGTCTACAGCACCGCCATGGGTCAATTCGACATCCGCAGCCACTACAGCCGCCTCCTCTCCGAAGACACCACCAAATCCATGCCCATCGCCGCCATGGAATCCCTCTCCGCCCTCTGCGACGCCTCCAAAGCCACCACAATCCACGAGCTCCTCTCCTCCATCGAGATCGGCAGCAAGGCGCTCATCGCCTCGGTCCCCAACAGCATCTCCCTCACGGCCGGCTGCGCAATGTTCACAAAGTTCATCTCAGCACACACCCACGATGACCCGAGGGACTTTGGCGCCTTCAAGAAGAAGCTGCAGGAGAACGGGCACCTGTTTGCGCAGAGCGCCCGCGAGGCGCGCTTCAAGATTGCGGGGCTGGGCGTGGGCATGCTGCGCGATGGCGAGGTGGTCATGGTGCATGGGTACTCGCGGTGCGCGGTGGGCATCCTGAAGCTGGCGGCGGAGAGGAATGTTAGGTTCAAGGTGATTGTGACGGAGACGAGGCCGAGCTGCCAGGGGACGAAGCTGGCGGTGGAGCTGAGGGCGTTGGGGGTGCCGGTGGCTGTTATCGACGATAATGCGGTGGCGTATGCGATGAAGAAGTGCCGCTCGGTGCTGATTGGGGCAGAGAGTATCTTTGCAGATGCTTCTATTATCAATGTTGTAAGTTGCTCTTCTCACTCTTGCTCTTGCCTGGAAGTGAATTTTGAAACTTTTATACGTGCTCTCTCCGTCCCACGCATACTCGTATCCCAATCCCACACATGTTCATATCCCAATCCCAAACATGCTCACGTACTCGTATTCTACTCCGACATACACTCGTTCCCAATTGCACACATACTCCCAATTGCACACGCTCGTTCCCAATTACACATATATTCGTTCCCAGTTACACACATACCTGTTCCCAATCACACTTATACCCGTTCCCAATTACACATACTTATTCCCAATCGCACACGCACTCATTCTCAACTACGCATAATCGTTCCCAATCACACACATACTCGTTCCCAATTACACATCCCACAAATATTCACATACCCACATCCCAACCCCTTATATAGCCACCTATATATCACCTCCACTAACCTCCCCTCCCCCTCCAGATGGGCACGCACCAAATCGCACTCGCCGCCAAAAAGTACCACCGCAAGGTCTACGTAGCCACCGAGACGCACAAGTTCGTCGACATCTTCCCGCTCGACCAGTTCGACATCCCGATCGAGCAGGACGTCATCAACTTTGACCCGCCGGCAGGCTTCGACGGGCCCATGCCGCAGACGGAGCTGGGCTTTGTGGATTACACCGAGCCGCAGTTCATCGATGGCTTCATCACTGAGGTGGGCTTGCTCACGCCGGATCAGGTTGCGGAGAGGATCGTGGCTATGAGGTTCCAGTAGTGGCTATGAGGTTCCGGTAGGGGAAGAGGAAGGGGGAGGGGAGGGGAAGAGGGCCAGAGAGGGGGATTGGCGTTATTGGGTTTTTTTTTTTTTTTTTTGTGCTTGGGGTGGCTTTTTAGAAGGGGGGTTGGTTGGTTCTGTGGTGCTCTTTTTCTTTTTTACGCTTTCTTGCAAGTGCCGCCTTTACTACTCTATCTGTGTCTTCTTTCTGTTTTTTCTCAAAAGTTCATGGTTACTTCTTGCGACTGAGGCGTGGTTGTACTAGATGGATTCAAGATTGCCGATGGTCTCTGTATAGGGGGGGGGGGGGGGTAGTTACAGGTTACATCGCTAGTTAGTAGTGGAATGGGACGTATATTTGCAAGTTTGATGGTGCTTTGTTGTGGGGTTAGGGTGCGAGTGAGATGTTGTGATGCCAAGGTGCCCTTTCACCCGTGACTTGACTGTGGAATGTACAGGTATAGTAGATCTATATCTGGGAATAGTGTAGGTATAGAGTCTGTTGGTGAATTTGTAGAGCTCTTGCTGCGAGAGCGATGTAGGAAGGATACGGACTTAACGAAAGTAATAACTGGCGAGGATATATAGAACTCAATCCTGAGTGTCTTGACCAAGCTACATAGCACACCACATGTATTTACCACGACATGCCATGTCAGATCAGCTGGTAATAGACCTCTGCAGACCTTCTTTGTGGCGGTGCTGATAATTAAGAGTAAGAGCTAAGAGGAAGAGGCAGGTATGAATAGGTTTTATAGCAACGGACATTCTGGAGGTGCTAGGTCTTTGTGGGATTTTTGATACTGTTTTTGGTACAAAGACGGCCAGAGGGGGAGTATGGATGGGTTTTGTGTGTGGTGTTTTGCGGTAGTTTTTAGGCTATGGGTGAGGTAGTCTGTGGTTTAGAGTGTGTATGTGTCTAGAGAGATACAGATAACTCATCTATCTACTGTATCTATTTGGGTAGGGGAACCAGATAACCTAGAACCCCCAGCCTAGCACGAGATGAGTTACATGGTGAGCGCCAGTAGATGCTAAGCTCACCTCGTTGTGGTGCCTTCCACGTTGGGTTGTGTGGAGATGGCTGTTAACTACATGCATGTACGTGGGCATGGGCATTGCAGGCAGGGCGCGGTACAGGATTTCTCTCTCGTGTAAATCTGAGTGTCGCTCGCAGAAAACGTAATCACCAAACTACATAAAGCCTCTGTCACTCCAGGAGTACCCTGTAGATCGGGGTTTGGTTGAATCAGCCTTCTATAATGTACTATCGCTAAGTTTTCGAACATTGGAACGGTTTGATTGGCTGCTGAGTGCAGGGATGTTGATTAGTCAGCACGACACATCAAAGTACTGAGCACTCACGAGAGGAGGAGGATGGGGCCGAAGGCCCCTCATGATTGTAGAGGGAGAATTAAATTTTATTTGATACCCATAATTCAACGTACAACTCGCGGTCGCGAGTTGGCACACCCCTAGTATGTATGTACTTTATTGTGGCCCTTGAATCTGAACACATACATGTACATATGTGTAGAGAGGGCGTCTGCTGGCCGTGAGGTACATGTATGTGCATATCTCTAGCCCAAGCCTAGGCTCGTCCCCACCCCCTCTACTTCCATGCTGGTGAGCAGCTTGCTGCTAAGTAGGGGATGGGTACGAGACTAGCCCAAGCCCAAATTTCCCGGCCACTAGCTGGGCCACTAGCTGGGCACACGCGGGAAATACATTGAAGCCTCACCCTTCGTCACAGCTCCATACTAATTATAGCAGAATACCTTTAGATCCCAAAGTCCCATGGGCATACAAATCTAACTCCCATCCCTAAACCCTATGAACAATACAACAGGAACAGAACTAACAGAAGTGGCGGTGGCTTTCGCCGTTTTCACCCTTCTCTTGCTTGAGTGGAGAGTGGTATGGCGGGTTGGAGATGGAAGCTATCCTTAAGGTACGACGGGATGGGGACGGCTAGGGAGCTCATCAAAAACATAGCTCTTCGCAATGAGACGAGCTCGTAGTGCCCCTGAAGAAGCAGCCAACGCCAACGTCGAAAGAAAAGATCAAGTCCCAAACTGTAAGGCCTGGGCTCCCAGAACCTATAGGTTTCGATGCAAACCTATTAAACTGGCTGGTTTAACCGTCACTAATCTTCAAAACACCAAGGTTAGGAAGCGTAGGCTTCATCCAGATACTCACATAGAACCATTCGTTACCTAGCACTACAAGAACCTCTTACCAGTACTCACCTTAATCGGGTTGACTACAAAAATATTCGATATAGGCCTTCGTAGGATTTTATACATGCAGCTTACAGTGGTTACTAGTGCCGTAATTCGGATAAGTGTTGTTCTTTTCCCGGTTCGACTGTATCGACTGATTTGCCAAGGGTCGAGCCAAGCAACGTTAAATACTTGTTTTATTTATGGGGGTTAGAGCTAATCCATAGTCAGTATAAACGCAGACTCGAATCTCACATTGGGAGGTTATGCCAACAGCCTGGAAAGATTTATCTACCAAAGTTAAAGATGGGACGCTGGTTGAAACAAATCAGGGATACGAATATTAAGCTCTTGAGAAGGGTTGGTTGGTACATGTAGTCTATGTTTATTTGGCCTGCTCTGACACCCACAATATACTTGCCTAGAAACTAGTCGACCGAGTGATATTCCATGATATCACGTGACATGACTATCAACTCCGTGTGTGTACCTGCATGGAATGCGGATGACTTTAGACAAACAAGCACAACCTAATATTACACGGGAGAAGAAAACCATCAAATAAACATTTCAATTATTTTCAACGAAATACACATACATGTAGCTTCTTGAAAACGATCATCATTATCAGTCTTGAGCTCCAGGGGCAGCGATTAGGGCCCTAGGCCCTCGGTAATCGGGTGACACACTAAATAGAGTAGGTAGCATGACGCATTTTGCGATGGCTGCTCCGCCTCGATTTTAAGCCAGTTGTGTGACGCGGGGCAACATCAAGGCTAGGATGGGCTGACGACAACTTCTCCCTTGCGTTACCATTCTCTGTGATCCTTAAGCCCTTTAACTGGACACAGTTTTGGTCCCGTATCCCCCCCTCCACACCTTTATTGACATTTACAACCATCGTCTTTAAGCTTCCGTGAACTCGCCCCTTTATCTTTTAGAACGAGCCATCACCAAACATTGCACTTTGAAATGTGTTCCTCGGACTTCTTTCTCGGTCTTCTGGCCATCTTGTTCCCACCTCTACCTGGTAAGCCTCTATGCCTCTTTGTTCGTAGACGTTTCTCCCCGCTCTGATCGCTAATGTACGGGGAATCAATAGTATGGGTTAAACGGGGCATCTGTTCCGCAGACAGTATTATCAATATCACTCTTTGTATCTTTGGATTTGTACGTCTTCATGGCTTCTCACTTGTCTCTAACGTTCCTGGGAACCCAAGCTAAACGTAGGAATAGATTCCTGGCCTCATCCACGCGTGGTACATCATCATGAAATATCCCGAGCAGTATGACTCCTTTGCAGTCGCACAAGAAGGGCACTTCACACACGGTAGTCACTACTACCCAGCACAGGGTCAACACCACCCATCATACATACAGCAGCAGCCACACCACTATTCTCAGCCACAGTACAATACCTTCCAACATGCGCAGCCAAATCGCACTGGTGGGGCTCTAGTGAATACTGGAGTTAGACAGCCCCAGAAATACACACAACATGAGCAACAGACTCCCCCGGAGACCCCAGCATTTGGACCGAGTGAAGGGAGCAGTGGCATGCAGCATGGCGAGCCACCAAGCTATGCCAGTGTTGTGAAGGGAGACCACAAGGTTCAAACGTTAGACTAAATGCGTACAAACGGTCTTAATCACATCGTTGGTACGAAGACCGGCCACACAAGCTTTGTCGGGGCAAAAGGGCCTAGGGCTATTAGCTTTTCTGGCTCGCCACCTTCTTGATCTCTGTATATCAACTATCCAGTAGAGGGGAGGGGTTTTAATAATGAATCAGGGTGTTCTCACGATTGTAATGATATGATATCAAGAAGGTTTCTGGCTTTAGTTAATTTTCTTTTCTTTTTTCTGGCTTGCGGATCCGAACCTTATTAATATTTATTTGCCTGTTTTTGCTAGGATTAGGGGTTTTTACATGTAGTAACTGCTCTTCGTTAAAGATCTGATTCTACCTAGTTTATTATTTGTCTTGCCCGTTATTTTTGATATGTAGTTCTGTGATAATGATAATTTTTCTTTCATTGATTGATTCTGAGTCAAGTATTATTTGCATGTCCAATGATCCCACGCCAAATTTATTATGGCCATGAGTCTTGTAGGTGCAGTTGTGTTTGTAATGATGTCCATTTATTTGTTTTGTTACCGTTGTTACGCATGGGCTCAAGGTACTAAGGTGGGCTACCTAGGTAGGATAGCCCCGCCTCGTCGTGACGATCCTGTCCCTACTACCTAAGGCTACCTCTTCCACAAGTAACCTTCTCCGCCATTCTTCGCCTATCCACCTTGCTCTTACAAATATACGGCTGGTATCCATCCTTTCATCTCCCGTCCTCTCTACTTATCAACTCCATCAACCACAACCCATCCTCCCACGTTAATCAACGCATAACGCTTCGAACTTCATTCCCGGAAGAGCACCAGGTATCCACTGACCTCCGTCCAAACTGTCGAAAAGAAAGCCCTCAACCGAACTATCAGTTCGTCCTGATAAACTAGTCATGACGGTGAGCTTCTTTTAATCCTATCCACAGCATTATTGGGTGTTTGGTGAGAAACAAACAGCTAATCGGACATCGCCATCAACTGTAGGACTCCTCAAAGATGCAGATAGATCCCCCTGCAGATTCTGCAGTTGGGACCATCGATGAGGGCCTATACAGTCGTCAACTGTAGGTATTCCTTGTGTTCTCCCTGGAGTTAACGGTCTTTTGAAAAGATTCCGTCTAACATTCGATAGCTACGTTCTCGGCCATGAGGCTATGAAGCGCATGAGCCAGTCGGATGTTCTCATCATTGGGATGAAGGGGCTCGGTGTCGAGATTGGTGAGCTTCTTCGTCATTTTTAGAGTCCATAATCTTCAGCTACTACTCCGCAGCTGTTATATTGGGCATTTTTTCTCTTTCGATTGCATACTGACTTGAGATCCTCCATAGCCAAGAACATTTGCTTGGCCGGTGTCAAATCACTAACCCTATACGATCCCAACCCTGTTGAAATCGCAGACCTCTCGTCCCAGTATTTCCTCCAAGAGACCGACGTGGGTAAACGGCGTGATGAAGTCACTTCCCCACGCCTAGGCGAGCTCAATGCATACACACCTGTCTCGGTTCACCAGAAGAACCTTTTCGAAGATGTCGAGTCGCTTTCTAGATTTAAGACTGTGATTATCACCGAGGCTCCACTTGAAACCCAATTAAAGGTCAATGAATTCTGTCATAAGAACAAGATTCCGTACATCTCGGCTGAAGTTAGAGGGTTGTTTGGTAATATCTTTTGCGATTTTGGAGAAGGCTTTGTGGTTGTCGATCCGAATGGTGAAAATCCGCTGAGCGGAATTGTGGCGGGAATTGATAGCTCGGGACTTGTTACTGCACTAGATGAGACTAGACATGGATTTGAGGATGGAGATCATGTCATGTTCAGCGAAGTCGAGGGAATGGAGGACTTGAATGGTGTTGAGTTCAAGGTTGAAGTAAAGGGTAGGTTTCATGATCTGTTAAAGCCCCCACACCAAGTTTGAATTAGGTCCCTAATCTCGCCAAACTTCTCAGGGCCTTATACATTTTCTATCGGCGATGTTTCGCGATATGGTACATATCTGCGTGGTGGACTCTTCACTCAAGTCAAAGCACCTAAAATCATCAATTTTCAGTCGCAGGCCGAGCAACTCAAAAAGCCGGAGTTCCTTATTTCAGATTACGCAAAGTTCGATCGACCTCTTCAGCTCCATGTCGGTTTCCAAGCTCTCCACGCATTTGCTGCGGAACATAATGCTCTTCCTAGACCTATGAATAAAGAGGATGCGGCGGAGGTGTTTAAATACGCAACCGCAATTGCGGAAACATATGGAGAGGAAAAGCCCGAATTGAGCGAAGATCTCATCAACGAACTATCATTCCAAGCTCGTGGGGATCTTGCTCCAATGTGTTCAGTTTTCGGAGGCTGGGCAGCTCAAGAAGTTGTCAAAGGGCTGTCTGGAAAATTTGGTCCATTGGCACAGCATCTATACTTCGACTCTCTTGAAAGTTTGCCAAGCTCTACACAGCGTTCGGAAGAGCTCTGCAAACCTTTAGGCACACGTTATGACGGACAGATTGCGGTCTTTGGAACACAGTTCCAAGACAAGATTGCAAACATGAAGCAGTTCCTTGTTGGTGCTGGCGCCATCGGTTGTGAGATGCTCAAGAACTGGGCTATGCTCGGTCTTGCTACTGGCCCCAATGGCCAAATTTCAGTGACTGATATGGACTCAATCGAGAAGAGCAACCTAAATAGGCAGTTTCTCTTCAGACCCAAGGATGTTGGAAAGTTAAAGAGTGACTGTGCTGCCGAAGCCGTCCAGGCTATGAACCCCCAATTGAATGGAAAAATTACCACCTTGAGGGATCGCGTGGGGCCTGATACTGAGAACGTATTTGACGAGGACTTTTGGGAAGCCCTCGACGGTGTAACCAACGCTCTTGATAACGTCGATGCCCGAACATATGTCGACCGCAGATGCGTCTTCTTCAAGAAGCCACTCTTGGAGAGTGGTACTCTTGGAACCAAGGGTAACACTCAAGTTGTCATTCCGGGACTTACTGAGAGTTATTCCAACTCCCAAGACCCTCCAGAACAGTCTTTCCCCATGTGCACTCTCCGAAGTTTCCCTAACAAAATTGAGCACACCATTGCTTGGGCCCGTGAACTATTTGAATCCTACTTTGTTCAACCTTCAGAGAATGTCAATCTTTATCTTTCACAGCCCAACTTTCTGGAAGCTACTCTTAAACACTCAGGAAACCAGAAACAGATTTTGGAAACCATCCGAGATTACTTGGTGCTTTCCAAGCCCATCACATTCGAGGAATGTGTCGCATGGGCAAGACTTGAGTTTGAAAAGCAGTACAATAACAACATTCAGCAGCTACTTTTCAACTTCCCCAAGGATTCGGAAACATCCACAGGTACTCGTTTCTGGAGCGGACCTAAAAGAGCTCCGGATGCATTGACCTTTGACTGGGAGAATGAGACTCATGCAGCGTTCGTTAAGGCTGCAGCTAATCTGCATGCCTTCAATTATGGAATTAAGGGAAACCTTGATGACGAGTTTTATAAAAAGGTGATCGATCAAATGATGGTCCCCGACTTTACTCCCTCATCTGGGGTGAAAATCCAAGCCAGCGATGCTGAACCGGACCCGAATGCCACCGCCCAAAGGTTTGACGATGAGGATGAGATGCAGACACTTGTGCAGAGCTTGCCAGCTCCTAGTGCGATGGCAGGGTACAGGCTTACCAAAGTAGACTTTGAGAAGGATGACGACACGAATCATCATATGGATTTCATTACTGCTGCGTCCAACCTTAGAGCCCTTAATTATTCGATCACCCCTGCGGACAAGCATAAGACCAAGGGTATTGCAGGAAAGATTATCCCTGCTATTGGTAAGCACCTCTTCCATCCTGGATATTGAACAATCAAAACTAATAAATAATAGCGACAACTACATCTCTTGTGACTGGTCTCGTCTGTCTTGAGCTATACAAGGTCATTGATGGCAAGAACAAGCTCGAAGACTATAAGAATGCCTTTATCAACCTGGCGCTGCCCTTCATCGGATTTGGTGAACCAGTTACCAGCCCTAAGGGCTCATACTTGGGACCTAAGGGTGAAGTAACATTCGACAAGATTTGGGACAGATTCGACTTTGACCACGAAATCACGCTGCAGGAGCTTATTGACGGTATGAAGGAGAAGGGCCTGATTTGCTCTATGGTTAGTTGTGGAGTTAGCTTGCTTTACGGAAGCTTCTTCCCGCAGAAGAAGCTTGCGGATAGATTGCATTTAAAGTAATTCATTATCCACCCCCCCCCCCCCCCCCCCCCCTTCTTCATTATATCATTCCGCAATTACTAATAGCTTCACAACTTCCCGTAGGATGAGAAAACTAGTTGAAGAGGTTTCTAAGAAGCCTGTACCACCGCATACCAAGAACCTTATTCTGGAGGTTTGCGTTGACGATGAGACAGGTGAAGATGTTGAAGTTCCATATATCTGTGTCCGTGTTAAATAGGTGTTTTTTTGTGAGGAGATGGCTCGAAATCCAAGAATCATTCAGACTTGGTTTCCCGTTCTTATTTCCATATCAGCCAGTGCACAGTAAGGGCTGGTTTCTTGTACGCTATCCACTTTCTTATACAAATACATGAGCCAAGAGATTTATCTGTTATATCCCATCGCATCAACTTCGAATAATTTGGACGAGTGAGCGTTTCCTCACTAACAACATCAAATTAGGTGACGGGAGGCTAATCGCACAGGCTCACTCCGTATAGCAGCTGAAAACAGGATGGTAAAATGTAATTCTTAAGTGTATGACCACGATAAAACAACCTCGCTCATGCAACCGTAGTGACATTACTGGCAGGCAAAAAAAACAAAAGTGCAGGAAAAGAAACTTAGATACAGGGGATCATGTTCACGGACGCCCTTTTAGGGATAGGATATATGGTATATGAAGACCCGTCTATTCATCAGCAACGCTAGCAAACTTCTCCATCATGTCGTTATAAAGCTTCTCGTAGCGCTCGGTGATCGCCTTTTCACCATCATCCGGGATCTGAAAGGAACC